ATTAAGCATTTGTGCATGTGTACCCTAAAATCAGTTCCATAACAGTTCTAGGCAGAGAAAGAGGAACTAAATTACTTTCAGCGAACATTAACTGTTAAAGGCCTGCAATACTCCTTCCCTTCTAGCTTATTCTAAAAGCATCTGCTTTGTGTGCACAGACTGACATCTTTTAATCTCATCTTCAGCCAAGCATTAATGAAATAAAGCACCTTGTAAAGACAACACCTAAGCAGCTTATACTGAGCAGTTCCCTGCCTGGGTGCTGCCAGTATACCCATCATTTCTTTTGTGCCTTAGTTTTATATAGACAGTAACGTTTGAAAGCAAATCATTCTTGTAACTTTTTCCCATGTCAGCAAGGACCTCACAACTCTTCCCCAGTGGAAGCTTATTGGTGACCAAATGTTAAAACACTTGTGGGGATATCTTTTTCATTATTTAGATGTTTCTTCTGGGAAATCATACAGAAGAAGTGCTAATCACTCATTGCCATGGTGACCTTTTGCATCACACTTTGAGGACAAAGTTGCTTATCTCCACAGTGAACTTGACACTGTAGTTAGTGCAGCTCCAGCTGAAATCCTCCATGCCACCATCTGCCTAATTTTATAGGATCAATTTGAGTTGCTGTGGCATGATGACATGGGCAAGGTGTTTGTACCTCCTGGCTAGTAGAAGCTGACTGACAAAGGTAAGAGCAGATGGGTCCAGTGAAAAATAAATGTATCTTTATGTGAAGGGGTAGGTCTTGCTGTACTTAAGGGGGCAGTAGTGTGACCACTCTTGAAGAAATCCACTGTGGACCCCATGGTATTTGACAATTCTGCCCTGTTGCAGATACCATTTTCTTAGGAAAAGTACTTAGGGACCTTGTTATGGGATCTCATCTGCTTCAGTTACCTTGATGGGAACTTCATCAAGTGAGGACGGAGGAAATGCAACCCTGTTTACCTTGCCTCATCTTTCATTGGTTGCTTACACCATTGACCACAATATTCTTCTTTATTGATTCCATGGGCAGGGCATCCGATGTACTGTGTTACCTTGGTTCTGATATTTCCTGTGAAGACAATTTGAGAGTGCAGTATTAGATAACTGTTTCTCAGCCCTTTGTTAATTGAGCCATAGCATCTTGGCAGGATACTATCTTGTCCCCAAGTTGTTCTGTATCTATATGATGCCAATGGGAATAGTCCTTAGGACCCATCAATATGCTGATAACACACCGTTCTGTCTTTTGGAGAGATCTGAATCAGGTGAGACTGTGCAAGTCTTGGATTAGTGCTTAGACTCAGTGATGAACTGGATGAGCACCAATACAGTAAAGCTGAATCCGGGCAGGATGGAAGCCCTGGAAGTGTGTGGGGAGGGCTGTTCCTGAGTCTAGGAGAAAGGTTCATTGACTGTTCTGGGTAGGGTTATACTTTGAAAAATCGGGCTTGCAGTCTGAGGGGACTGCTAAATACATCACTGTCATTGAAAGCCCAAGTGGTCCTGGCAACTTGGAGTGCCTATTACCAGCTTTGGCTGCTTTGCACACTACAGGCTCTCCTCCAGTTGTGGAAGATAGCACAAGTAATTTTTCATGAGTTAATGAGCCAAGGATACAGTGCAACTTTCCCAAATAATGGTTTTACTGCAAAACAAAGACATCTACTGTATCTTATAGGGGTTAGTGTACATTTTTCTCTATATGGAGATGATTTCTATGTAAGAAATCCATTATGCATAAAATTGCCCTCATTCCTCTTTAATCCATACAGTATTAATACCACAAAGAATATTGAACCAGAATCAAAATGAGTGTTAGAGGCAGACAAAATACCACTTGCATTATTTTATGAACTTGGTCCATCACTTTAGATGAAGGCATCTTACAAATGAGTATTCTCATGATAGAAAAGGAAGGAGCAGCCTAATTTCTTATAAGATGGCTTCTACTTAACAGTAATTCAATTGCTAGTTAATTTGATTTCCCTCAATGTAATTAGATAAATCCATTATAACCAGATTGCTTCTCTTACAGGTAACAAAGTGATCCTCCCTTTTACAATTATGGGCTAGGTTTTATTTAAGCCTACCATGTTGGTAAGGGTGAGTAACAGGAAAAAAAAATCAGAGGTTAGATTGGCACTATCCTGGCAATGGTTTCTGTATCAACTGCTGACAAAATGAGTGGGACTGAACTTAAGAGGAGCCTTGCCAGATCAGATCAAAGATCCCTCTGAAGAAGCATCACATTTTGCACAGTGGCAAAGTAGATGCTTCTAGGAAGTCTACAAGCAGACCATGAGAGCAACAGCACTCACATGCTATTGGACACAAAAGCAGTTTGCCTCTGATTCTAGAGGCTGCATATGGCCATATGAGACGATTTATCTTCTATGAATCTATCTAATCCCCTTTTAAAGCCATCTGAGCTAGATGTCGCAATTACATCTTGCGGCAATGAATTTTATAAATTAATTTTGCATTATGTGTAGAAAGTATTTCCTTTGGTCCTAAGTATCATGTCAATCAAGGAGATTACTGTCACAAGTAAGTGTCATGGGTCTATGTTGTTCCAATGAGAAACAGCTCAAGACTGATCCTGAAGAAGCAGTCTGTCTGGCTGGTTGGTTCTGTTTTAACAAAGCTCATATTGCTGCTTCCCTTCAGCAAGCTATCCACTACCCATCCTGATCAACTTGAAACCACGCACTTTCTTCACAATGAGAGTGCAGATAAGCAGAGTTTATGCAGACATCATGAGCTTTATGAGGTGTGCAAGACAGTAACTGCATAAATCTTTCCAGTGTGCCAACCAGCACTATTTCAATTAAGATTTTGATCTGGAATTAATAAACCATTTGCCAATTACTGGCAAAACACTCCTAGAGAAGATAGCAGGCTTGTGCAAGTTCTCCTGCTTGGAGAACTAAACTACAAGTTGAAAATGTGGGCAGAGTAGATCCTGGAAGCTGAGGAAGTAAAAGGAATTACGATGTGTGGACAGCACAGAAGTAAAGACAGTTAATCCTACACCAATAGTAAGTCATCTTAGAAGTAGGTTATAGATATGTGGTGCATTTTGACTGAAATACCCTCCACTCAACATTGAGTTGTTCAAATGGAAGGTTAAAAGGATAAAGTTCTCATAGAACTGCTTGAATGCTATAGCTTAGAGCTGATGAATAGAACAGTACGTATACTTTGATTATTCAATGGGAGATATAGTAGATTCATGTCCTTGGGAAACTTAGTAGGCCCCCGAGAAATCAAATAATATTTAATTAGGATCCCATAGGAAAAAATAATACCATCTATTTTAAGATCTTTAAAACCGTTCGCATAAACACAGGCAAACAACATTTGCTGTTATGATTATGTTATTCTGGAGGGTGTATCTTTTTCTCTGGGTAGACTGCATTCAGTGAAGTCAGACAGTGGTAGCAAACAATTCTTGATTTCTTTTTCTCTGGTGTTGATTGGACATGATAGCCCATGTCAGATAGTGATATTGCTGATCACTTGTTCATGAGGAAATGAAATTTAACCCCCCCTCCCCTTGCAGTGCCTACCAAGCAGTGCTAATTTTTCCCTGCTTCCATTCAAATTATGTACACTTAACTGGGTTGGGGGAAGAACTTCATTTTCAGCATCTCCTATTCTCTTGTCTGCTCCTATCAGCTTAACATTAACCACCAAAAACCAGCCCAAATGTTTTTCTTTTCTTTTGGTGAGCCTCCTGTATCCTCCACACTCATGTGACTGCTTCTGAGAATGGTGCACAGATGACACAATTAAGAGGATACTGCCTTATCTTGGAGCATATTTATACATGGGTCTTCTTCAGCCTCAGTGAGCACATAAAGTTGAAACGTGGAAAGCACTGCTGAGAAAAGTGTGTTATGAGGATAGTTGAGATGAGAGAATGCAGCATTCTATATGCTGCCACATGTTATTTCCCCTCTGTGTGTGGTGGCACCTGACATTCTCCAAATCTGCTTTGTGAATAGTGAGTCACCATAAGCTGTTGGCCAAGGAATCATGTGTTGGCTGAATACAAGACAGACAGACAGACAAATGTTTCTACATCATCAAATCTGTCTTCAAGCACAGGCAGTCTCTTAAAGCCTACAAATGGAACTATATGCAGTTGGGGTGTTAGTGGTTGAGAATATAAACCAAAACCCAAGGAATGTGTAGGAAGTAAATGACATTATATAAAAGTTTGTTTGGGGTTTTAGGGTAATTCAGCCTAAAAGCAAAACATCCTAAAAGCAGAAACCACTAGATTTCAAAAGCAGACAATAAGGAGCAGTGGGTTATATCCAATGGTAATCTAATTTAGCATAGACTTATTGAAATGAATGGGACTTATGTTGTACTAGCATTGGACACAACCCAAAGTATTTTAAAACTGGGATTGGCCTCCAGTGATGAATTCATCACAGGAAGAAATTCTACCCAGAATTTTATTAATTAAATAATAATTCAATTGTATTTATTACTAATTATTTAACTAGCACAACCAGTGTCTATATTAGACTTATATGAAACAATAAATCAGTTTTATGAACATAGATGATCAGTGTACACTGTGCTTCCTTACAGAGATATTCCTGTTTTAGAGGCATATTAGACAAAGTAGGAAAGTACTATAGGGAAAATGATGTATATAGGTAAATGAAATGGGCATGTGCTGGGTATGCTTTTAAATTTTGTAATTTTACAAAGGAAATCATTTTGATGAGGAATTTAAGTAAGATATGACAAAGATAGAGCTGCCGAGGGAGGTTCTGTCAGAAGGAGTTGCAAGGGAAAACTGTTGAAATCTTTTAAGACAGCAGGAAAATTGGAAGTGAATAAGGATAATAGACTAATTAGAATGCTTTGCTACTAACTACATTTCTGCATAGTGTCCCTTAGGTATAGAAGTAGAAGATCTCAGGAGTAAGTTTCCTATTGTTCAGTCTTTCTGATTGTTCCTACTTGAGATGCCTTTTGCTTCTTTTCAGATTACAGTTTTCCACTTGCCTCCCAGAAAGCCTTGCCTAAAGAAAATGGAGCACATGTCAGAGAACCTCAAGAAGGCCCCACTTTCCATCATTCCTCAGATCTTATCAAGCCTGACTCTCAAGCACCTTCCACCAGCATCCTAGAGGAAGAGGAAGGATTGCTTCCTATCAACCAGTCAAAGGGAGCTTCTCAGAGCAGCCAAATAGAGAAAGTTACTTTTTCTGAAGCACCTGGGCAGGATTCATTGTTTTCTATCCTCTTTTCCACAGTAGCTAGCAGAACAGATCCAGTAACTGATGTGGTTACAGAAAAACAAGAGGAAGAATCTGTTCCTGAGCATGCTTCCTCTGGTTTTGACTTAGGGAGCAGCATGGGACCTAGTGTCTTGCCCCTTTCCCCCATTTTAACAGCCACTACAAAAGGACCCCAGCCTGTGTCAGAGGGCCCTTTCAAATTTACTTCAGAAAGTGCAGTATTTACAGTGGGAACAGAAGGGGAGGTGGTAAAGACTCTAACAACTATAGCTACAGTGGGATCTGAAGTGGACACCACAATAAGTAGGGAAAGCCCAAACCCCTTAACTGGAATCAGACAGGCCATTTCCATAGCAGAGACAGAGGCCATAGAGACCACAGAAATGGCTGAAGTGGAGCAGACAGGGGAAGATCTTCTAATAACAGGATCTCATGGGGACAGCACACAAGTAACTGACACCATTTCCAGGACTCCTAACAGCCCATCAAGCCCCAGCTCTTCAGTGGGTTTCTGGGACTGGACTGATGAGCCTGCTCCTACCTCCACCCCCATTCACAATATTACAAAGCTTGCAGTTACAGCAACTGCTGTGACAGAACCCAGCTTTGCACCACAAACCGGAGATGTCCGCATGGCTGGGCTTCCCACAGGAGTGCCCTGGAGTCTGACACAGGTAATAATTCAGTGTTTTGTACGGCTGGGTGGGTTGGGTAAGTATTTTCAATTACGCATTCTTGTTTTCAGACACTAGGAATGGGCCACATATTATAAAAAGTTACTTTATACTTCTTATTTGCTAGATCAAGCATGAATTGGCCTTTAATTTTAAAGTCACCAATTATTTTCTTAGCCATGAAAGCCATGAATAAGAGATCTAGTACAAATACAGCCACACTTAAATGCTTGGGTTCCAAATAGTAACACTGTCCTATAAAAATATTTCAAAAGGAAAGTAGCAACTAAATTATATACAATTCAGAAATGAAGCAATGTAAACAAAAACAATAGTGTTCTAAATATAGTCCATCTATTTTATGGTACTCAAGAAAGGCATCCAAGTAAATATTGGAGGTAGTTGCTTTAAAATATAAATAAACTCCAGCTCTATCTTAGACAAGTTTATAGGATTTCAAAAGATTTCTTTTGGTTGGCATTAAAATAGTATGTCCTGCAAGGTATGTATAATTATACTCTTGGTTGGTTTGCTTTTGTTTTTTTAAGAACATAGATATAAGAGAGAGCTTGTTGCCATGCCAATTATGTGTCCTAGGTCCACGTAGTTACATCCTGTAAATCTCTGCCTTCCTTTAAGTTGGCCAGTGCTGCTTCTGTGCTGAGGCCTTTTCTCTTAAATGAGGCTGACCTGTTTCAGCCGCTTCAGGGGTCAGTGCTACAGTGAACATGTGGTTTGTTCATGGCTGGAATCCTGAAGTTGGGCTGGTCCCTGGAACTTTTCTCAAAAACTAGGCCCTAAGGAATATAAATCCTGTCTTGCCCTTCTATAGCTGAGGTTTCTTCCTGCTCCATTAACACTAGCCCCATGTACTCCAATTATGTCAGGGTTCTAAACTGTGACCAAATAATATAATAATCAAATGAAACCTAGCAAACCAAATTAAAAATACAGTAATGCTTTTGAAACAACAGAACTTAAAGACTTAAATACTTGTGATGATAGGGTTCCCAAAAGAAACTCTCAACTGGGTTGCTGCAGCAGAAGCGTCCCCCTTCTTAGTAGTCACACACATTAATTCCTGTGTTAGGAACTCCCAGAAATTGACCATTGAAGACCATCATAGGGTCTTGGCAAATACAACTTTGGGTTAAGGTATCAAACTTACCGTGGACATGCAATAATAATCTTAAATATTTCCAGATAACTGTCCTCTCATCCACTACTTTGTGAGTTTTAATTTTTGTTTTTCACATATAAATGTATGTTCTGTACATCAGAAGAATGTTCCCAGCCATTATTGTCATGCCTCAGTCACATTAGATGACAAATTTAAATTGAATGTACATAAACAAAAACACAAAACAAGGTGTATGTATGTTCACAGTCGTAGGTCTTCTTTAAACATATGTGCAAGTGACTCACTAGAAAATGTTCCTAATATAAGTTAGTGTCTCCAAAAAGTAACTTTATAACCATCACTGATATAATACTGATAAAACACATTAACAACCCAAAATACATGTGCAGATGTATTGATGTGTGAGAATTGATACAGTATGTGATACAAATTAATTTATGCAATATAATTAAAGCAATAGGATGCCCTCTTACATCCATGGGAAGTTTGGGTGTATGATTTGGTTGGCCTAAATTTTAGTTTCAGATGCATACCCCCAGTTCCTTATTCCTTTTCCTTTACACATATTTTGGCTATTATGAGTATGGTGGCAGTATCCTTGTCAGTATCTGGCTCCTGAAAGCTGAATTTGAAGAGATAATTGGCATAGTTTTTTGATGATACTCCTCTGAAGGTGTGAGGTGCTGTTGATATATAAAGCCCTGAACAGCCTGGAACCATGCTACCTGATAGATTATCTTCCCCAGTACAGACATGTACATTTAAATTATTGGAAGAAATCTTGTTGGTTGTACCACAACTTGCATACTACCATCCTGCAGCAGCCAGAAGCAGGCCTTGTCCTTGTCCTTAACAGTGCCCACCTTGTGCAGTGACCTCCTCCTGGTATCTGGGAGGCACCAACTATAATATATTTTATGTACCAGTTAAACACCCATTTCTTTTCTGAACTCAGGTAGGCTGCCAAATTATATGGTATTCATTTATGTAAATATTTTAGTAGTTAAATAATAGAGGAGGAGGATCCAAAGCTTACTTTAGGTTGTATATATCACAGTTTCTTAGTTGTTTGTATTACACTGAGTACCCTAGAGTCACCATAACTGTTCGCTTCATTCTTCAGATCCTAATTTCAGTATAAAACCTTGAATATCTGCTGCCAGTTGGGGTATAGAAAAAGTGGCTAAAAGGATTAGTTGTTTGAGAACAGGAAAGCTTTATGTATGCTCATAAGAGGCAGGTTAATACCTCTTCCCAGATAATTTTCAGCTAAACTCAGAGAGATGTTCTTGTTTTTTCCAGGTTACCTGTAAGGACTGGAGCAATCTGGCAAGCAAAAACTACATAATCCTGAATATGTCAGACAACATCGACTGTGTGAGTAGCTTACTTTTTTATTTACATTATTTACTAAATTTCTGATCTATCGTTAAAGCTAAATCAAGGTAGTTCATAAAATTATAACACAATAAAACAATAAGTTCTTGGTACTAGCATCTCTGCATGATTTTCTGTGCAATACTGTGCATGTTTAATTGAAATAAGTCCCATTAAAATCAGGGGGGGCTTTCTCTCAAGTAAGAATGCATAGGACTGAAGGCTTAGATTTTCAGGTGTTACTGAGGCAGCATAGGATCCTGTCATGTGTAAATGGCAAATACATTACCTTGGCAATACACCTATCAATGAGTGTTTTGAAAGTTAATCTGGATTGAGTTTTGTCTCTGAAAAGATGTGTGGATTTTGGTAAACAGACCATGTTTCATAATTTTTAAAAGGCACATCAGGAATTTCTTATCTACACCTTTTGAATTCATTTCAATTTTATTTATGACATTCTTTCTTTTGCATGGCAATAGAATATTCTGTAACTTTTAAAGACCCTAGAAGCCCCATGGATCTCATTGTGTGGAATCACAAGGGATTTAGCAATGCGCTGTAGAATTAACTTGTATATATAAAGTTCTGAATGTCTTTTTTTAAGAGGAGAAGGAGAAAAAGAAGAGGAGGCAGGCCTGGTTCTTGTAGCTGTGAAAAATGCTTGAATATATTTGTGCTTGTTTGGCCTAAACTATCTCTGCTTGTAGAGACTGTGGCTGTACTGCTTGATTAATTTATCAGTATCTTACTAGCTCATCCTATATACTAATAATATACCCAATTCTCTTAGTGCCCATCTTCATACAGTCAAAAATACACCATTCATGTACAAAATGGAGAAGTGCTACAGAAATTTTGCAAAAATCCAGAGCAAAAAAAGCCCTTATACTAGGGAACTCCTCAGAACTGCCCAATGAGTATCAGGCATGCTCAGAGGCAAGGAATACTGGAAAACAGTTCACATGGAAAATAAGAGGAACTGGGGAATGAATAGTGCTGGAGCCTCATGTGGCACCCATGAAACTATCCATTCCCTGTCCCATTCAAAAAATATTTTAAATAAAAACCATGTAAAATGTTGTGGCAGGCTTCTTTCTCTTTCTAGCCCAGGCTGTGTGGCAGTAATTATTTACTAGCCCATTCTGTATAGGAGCCATTTTGTGACAGTGCCCAGAACAATTTCTCAAGTTCTGAAATGTGCCCACAGATTCAAAAAGCTCAGGGAGTCCTAAAATAGAATATCTTGAAGGAAAGCATAGCTTGCTGGCTAAAACTTTGTACAGGATCATTCTACACTGCAGTGTTATGTTCTGCTTGTTATATAAAAAAATCCTACCCACCTCAATTATCTATAATAACAAAGGGGCTTCTCTCTTTCTGCGCAGCTCATATGATGGAGAAAAAGTGTTTTCCTGTCAGGTAGCACTTTTTCCTCTCTTGCTACTAAACTGAAGAATTCTGGTGTTACTGGACTCAGCCAGACAACAGCAAGAGTAAGCCCGTTTGGACCCCAGACCCTGAGTCAAAAGGACCCTGAGACGAGACTTAGAGCCAAAAGCAGTTTTATTCTAGTGCACTTTAGAATAAATGGAGACAGAGGGGAATAGACTTCCCAAATCAGTCTCCATAGTACAGAAAACATACATTATATACCCTAGATCACAGACAAAAGGTTTGGATACATGGTAGATACATTCACATATTGTTGACACCTTCTGTTATTTCTTGGAAGGAATCCTGTATTCTCCCAAGGACTTCCTTCCCATATGTCTGCTAATAAAGGAACGCTTGCGTCCATATATGCCCTCCCGCCCCTTGAGATCAGCAACAGATGCCCTTCTCCGGGAACCCTCTGTGAATGATATTAGGAGGCTGAGTACCTGGAGGAGGGCTTTCTCCACAGTGGCGCCCCACCTATGGAATGTGCTCCCCAGAGAGGTCCGCCTGGCACCGTCATTATTTGTTTTTCGGCGCCAGGCTAAGACCTTTTTATTTAAAACTTATTTTAAGTGTTAATTTATTATGTAGAATTGTTAAAAAATTTTAAGCCGAGATGCACCAGGTTTTAATATTTTTATTGTATAATTTTTGTATGATTTTGTTTGTTTTTGTTGTGAGCCGCCCCTAGGCTTTGTTGCGATGGGGGTGGCATAGAAATGTTTTAAATAAAATAAATAAAAATAAATAAATAATAATCTTTCAACCATTCACACCAGCCTTGTGTTTCTACACCTACTGTAATTCATAATGTATTTTGCTACTTTTGAAATTCATGGTGCCTGAAAGTGATTTTTGGCACCATGAGTTCTCTGCAGTTGCCTCTTCTTTGGGATTTTGCTGACTTGTCACAGGAGTTCACACAGGGTTCATCGCTCTTATTCTCCCCACTCCCTCCTGGACAGGAACTGGAACATGGCTGCTGTGCTGTTGCAATGTGGCCTTCCTTAGGCTAACTTCTACTAGGGGCTTTTGGGGTGTTAATATTGGTAACACAGGAAAGGTTAGTTTGAACTCTGATCTATTGTACAGCCATAAGAGAAGATCTTTCCAAGGGATTTTATTATTCCTGTCACAATTCTAGTGATGTAGTCCAAGGACTATCCCCTAAAGTGACTTTGCACTCTGTCACCTCATTCCCCTTCTGCCAAGTGGCCTATCTTGTGCTAATACAAGTATGTACCAGCCAGTGTTCATAATCTTTGCCTTGTGAAATGAGGTGCTGATGGGCCTTTGTGACTCAGGCCTGACTTCTCCTTGTCTTTCTCAATTAGGCCTGTGCTTGCCCAGAGAGCTTGAGGTTGCCATAGCAACCAGCAGTGCTAGCACATATTAATAATCTGGGTGGCCTTTAGGTTGGCACGGCAACTGAACAAGAATAGAAAGGCAAAAGTGGGAGAGGTGCTGCCAAGCAATGTGCAACGTATCAGAAGAAGAGGACTATCTCTATTTGACCTGCAGTCTGAGGAGAGCTGCTGAGGCACTTGGCCTATTAAAATCATGTATTAGTATTTGAGATTTTCCTTTCTCCCAAAGCTCAGTGGGGATATACATGGACATTCTTTGGCCAAATCCTTACCCCTATACCTTCAAACATTGCACACTTCCAAACTGCTCCCTTAATCGCTGCAGCTCCAGTAGTAATACTTTGTTTTCCTTTTACTGAAAGTTTTAAGTTACATCAAAGATGAAAGCTTGTTTGTTTCTGCTTTAAATTTTGAAGTGACATTTATCCCATTTTTCTATGAAGACCTGTTATTCAAAAATTCTTCATACAGAAGTGCCAGATATTCAAATAACTAGTACTTATTAAGTGAATTAAGAGTGGGGTGGGGGTGAGGAATTAGGACCATGAAGCTGGTAGTAAATAGCAAGTAAATGTGAGTTTTGATAATGACAGTAACTAGGATGTTAAAAAAATACTAGGGAGCACATGATTTTGGAAAGTTGAGGTTTGGAGAAGAAAATAGGAACGGAGAAAGTGGGTAATTTGTACAGTGTCATTGCTGCTCTCCAGAGATTTGATCCTTGTAGGTCCCTTTCCCTGACAGCCTGCATTCACAGGCATTTTAAATTAAACATTGCATTCTGGTGGAAGCAGGGCTTTTTTTTGTCATAGAACACACTGGAACAGCATTCTGGCACCTTTTTTTCAATGGATTTTACGAAGTGATTTTGAAGGAGTAGCAGATCAGCAGCAAACATCATTAACACAATAGTGCCTGCAGGCTGCTATTGTGTCTGCTATCTGCTATCTGATAGTGAGAGATTGGTGTGTGTGCTTACTGCTGGTGGGGATGTGAGTTCCGGACCCTTTTTTTTTTTTTTTTTTTACAAAAAAAGCACTGGGTGGAAGCATATATTCTTGGGATCCATGGGCTTGTGTTTAAGAAAGTGACACACATTTGATGTTGCAGGAGGAGTTCCGCATGGAGAGAGGCCTCCAGTTGCTGGCACTGGTGGAGGATGCTTTCTCCAGGTATGAAAATGGATTCCAGGCCCAGTGGTTGATCTCCCTAAGCAAACCCAATGAGAACGACAAACATCTGCTGATGACTTTGGCAGGAGAACATGGTGAGTTTGTTTGGAAAAGAAGAAGGGGAGGGGGTCCTACAAAGAGAGTTGAAGGGTGTTTGACCCACCTTCTGATGACTTCAGTTATTGCCTGTGAGGAGAAATCTTCTCTCATTCTGTACATCATATTGTTTCTTCCTTAATATGCATTGCCACAAGATGTATATAGTGACTGCCTCTCAGTAATTACTACATTGATCCCCTTTTATTGTCTCACATGGTTTTTCCCATCCTTCTGTATTATAATCTGACCTAAACAGCTCTATGTAGCTTTGATCTCCTCTGTTCCAGCTGATGTCACCACTGTCACACCAAGCAAAATGTTTCTGGAAAAGTCTAGGTCCAGTGGACATGGCACAATGGTGACTCTGAATGAAATCCCACAGTGGGTAGAAAAGGGGAAAAGTCTCTCTGCCTCCCAGGTCATGCTGGTTGCTATTCCTGTTGTTCAGTCTAGGACTTTCCTTTCATTCAATCTGTTACCTTCCTGAAGACATGTACAGAGATACCAACCCAATATAGCTGTCATTTGGTCTTAAAAGCTCCAGTCCCAGTGGCAAGAATGCCTGTGTACAGTTGTGCTGTCACTCCATCTGAGATTATTCAGTCCTGGGGTTGGCAACAGAGGGGTTTTTTTTCTGGTACCCTTGTACAGGAGGAGGTGAGCAGAAAAATCCTGGTGTCTGAAGAAATTCATTAGTGCAGTTGTTTGTCCCTCCCACACAGGCTCAATGGAATCAGCTTTTTTTCTTATCTAGTGGTTTCTTACATGCTCACTTTGGTATACCATGACAGACCTTGTAATCTGAACTAATTGTACATCCATTGTCCATTCTGAAGCATATACCTGGGCAGTCCCCTTCCTTGAACCATGCAGAGCTTTCCATATGCTGGGGAAAGTGATAGCAGAATGTTATGATGGACACTACTGTTTTAGTATTCCTTATTTTTAAATGGTTTATATATTTTTATATCACTCAATAGCTGAGGCTCTCTAGGAGGTTAACAAAAGTTAAAATTAAAGAACCCACACACACACACACACACATTTAAAAGAACAAAACCATAATATTAATTCCAGTTGCTATAATTCAGCACAGAAGAATAGCAGTGGTACAGAATAAAGAGGTATACCTATACAAAATAGGTACCAGCTACACCTCTTTGAAAAGTTCATTCCAAAACCAGAGTGCCACAAGCAGAAAAACTTTCCTCCTGGTAGCTACCCACCTCACTTCCTGTGAAAGGGGCTCCCCCACAGATGTCTTAGGCTTGGGTTGGTACATATGGGAGGAGGCGATCCATCAGATAACCTGGCCCAAGTCATTTAGGGCTTTAAATGTTAGTACTAGCAATTTGAATTGGGCCCAGACATCAACTGGCAACCAGTGTAGCTGGAAGAGGACGGTCTTAATACATTCTTGTGAGCCAGTCCCCACTGACAGTCTTGCTGCCCTGTTTTGGATCAGTTGACATCTCCAGACCATTTTCAAAGGCAGCTCCATGTACAGCACATTGCAGTAATTCAAACAAAAGTAGGGATAAGTGTAGCTAGGGTCTATCCAGGTTGGGTCATAGTTGGTATGTCAACTGAAGCTGATAAAAGGTGCTCCTTACCACAGAGTCCACTTCTGTCTCTGGATCCAGGAGCACCCCCAAATAACAAACCTTGTCCTTTAGGGGGAGTGCAACCCCATCCAGAGCAGGTTGAATATTACCCAATTGGTCAGATGAACCACTCACTAACAGTACCTCTGTCTTGGCCCTCATACAATCCATTACCATGCTCAGACACTGATTCAGTGTGGCCACTGCCTCACGGGTTTGATGAAAAAGAGAGGTAGAGCTGAGTGTCATCCACATATTTGTGGTACCTCAGCACATACCTCAGAGAATTCTCAGGGACAGGCCTGGAATGGTCCCATTTGGTTTCTGAATACAATTTTTTTGTTTTTCATGTTCAACTACGAGACTCTAGGGTTAAATCTAGACATTTACAAATGGTAAAAAGTACCATAAAAGTATATTGCAAGTAATTGTTAAAAGAATTAGGCTCCTGATACGGTGATTTTCTGCATAGTTGGCATAAATGAATATGCTTTTCCAGTCAAGTAGATTGATACTATGTTTTCTGTTCTGTATAGATGAGTTCAGTAGTAAAAGCATTTTTAATAATCAAAATGAAAAAAATAGTTTGCAGTTCTAGCAGTAACCATTCAGTTCATTGTCTGCCAGAACTAGGGCTCTGGGCCCCAATATTCACACTGACAAATGATTTTCACTGTGGGTACAGTGGTACAGCTTCTTCCTATTTGGGAAAACAGAGGTCAACGGCAATCCAGTGGTATATCCTTCAATTTCACTTTAGTACACAGATTTTTGAAGATCTGTGAAGTTCTTACAAGCATAACAAATTATGATTAAGGTCTGTTGGCAGATTTTTCAGTGGAAAAAGTCTGAATCAGATTTGAAGTAAAAGAGCACTGGCATTTTAGATTTCTTGTTTCTTGAAATGTATTCCTTGCCTTCACTTGCCCTTGCTAGCAGCCATCATACCTGCCTTTGTATTCTAAAATAAGCTACTCTACAGAGAAAGTGGTGTCCTATGTTGCTTTATTCTTATACTGAAAATTTTTAACATAGATGTAATACTTCTTCATTCCTTGCAAATCAACTAAAGAAGAGTGCTCTCTGTGCAATGTGTTTCTTTTCCTAGGGGTTGTTCCAACAAATGATGTTCTCCTGGCGCTAGGTGGCATACGTAGGAGCCTAACTGAGGTAAGACCTTGTTCCATTGCACAAGAGACAATGCAACTAAATTGGCCACCTTGAAAACTAGCCCAGCTGGGCTCAGAGCCCAGAATAGAGAAACTGATGGCACAGCAATTTACAGCAGAATTCCCTTCTTTCTTCTCTGGTAACTGCTGAATCATCTAATCTCTATTTTCATTAGCTGAGACTGGTTCCATGGATTGTCTTCTGTAGGAGTATTGCTGCAAACTACTATTATAGTCTCTTGGGAGCTTGCATGTCCTTGCTGAAGAGCATGGAGAAATGAATAAGTGACTATGTATGTGTCACACCAAGATCTGTTGAAATTTCTGCAGATACTGCCTATGGTCCTTTTAAGCCACTCTGAACAGAGATTGCATCCCTATTCACTCTGCATTGACTTCATGCTCTGTGAAACAGCTGAGCTTTCCCATTCTGTCTTTCTGGTGCTCTAACTGGTGAGGAAGCTCTTCATGCTTCTCTTGTTCCCTGTTCAAATGAGAAAAATGACCTTTCAGTTTCCTTGGGCTTGCCTGGTACTCAGCCAAGCATATTATAGGGAAAATTTAACGCTCTTTGGGGCTTGAATCCCTTGTTACCAAAGCTTAGAAACTAGCCAAGGACCTTTCTGAATAACCACCGAATGCCTACCTCAAGCACTGTGCAATATTCTTACCTGAATTTTCAGTGACATCAGAGTGATGTCTGTGTGTTTGTATAAAAGAATGTCGTTGTAATAGGATAGCTATGCTGCTAATTGCATCATCATGACCACCACCACATTCATTTATATCCTGCCTTTTTCCCCTCTTGTGAGGAATTCAGGGTGGCCTACATAGCTCCATTTTATCCTGAGAGCCTATGACTGGCCCAAAGTCACCTAGCAAACTTCATGCCATTGTGGAGACTAGAACCGCCATATTGTACTGGCTTTATGAAAATAAACTAGCTTGATAATACTCTGTTGTATAAAGCAAGGGATAGCCCACTTTTAAAAGACCTGAACAAAATCTTACACAAAGTGCACAAAACAAAGACAAAATATTTCAGACATGAAGAGAGACTTTTGTAATACTTGCCACACATTGAATCACAAATGATATCCAATTGATACCTCTGACTTTCTACATGATAATTACAATAAGAAAGAACACAATCCAGAGGATTTCACTTTGACAGACAGAAATAACAATACTAAATAGCAGACTGCTTGGAAAATGTGGCATGCTACTGCTGCTGGAAATGTCTGTAGTAAAGACAATGCAGAGCTAGAGATCACCCAGAGACCTCTTAGAATTCACTACAGGTGAGATCTATTAGTCTGTTCAGTGAAGAAAAAGAGGAGGAGTCGGAGTCAAGATGCACAACAAGAAGAATTGGGCCCATTTGAGCAGCTCCGTTGAACTTCAACAAGGGAGCTGGCAGTTTGAAATTCTATTCTGGTTGCTCAAGGGACCAATTTTGTTTAAGCCAGTCAGCCAAGAATGCTCTTTAGAGCAAAATTGGCAGATGAAATCTGAAAACCTCCCCAAGGATGATCCATTGTGGTGGCCTTTAGCTTTACTCTCTAGTTGTATCGTCTCAAGGTTTTTCCCCATCCCCATATTAATGAAAGTTGTTTCTTATTAGGGGCAGAGTACATTTGATTTTCAATTGAAAATCTGCAACTGATCGTTTATTGATATGCCTCTAGATCCTTAAAATCCAAACTTACTTGGAATGATTTTTTCACATAGTCTTAAACCTCTTGGTTTAGAAATTAAACCAAGTATTGCCTCTACTTCTTTTATCAATATAATGTGCATGTACTCATCTACTATGGTTCCCTCCTGGTTTCTAACTCTTTTGAGTAGCCTTTCCTCCTACAAAACTCTGCTTCTATTCCCCAACATGCACATTTTGCATTTGCTGCCCTCATCAATGGCCAGCACTCAGTCCAAGAATAAATTTTTAATACTAGAACTGAATGTCAAGCATATCTCCTTGTAAAATAAAATAACATGAAACAAAATGAAATTATTTTTGTTCCAGTTTTTCTGAAGTGTCACTGGCCAGGGAAATGATTATTGCAGTATTTCTATTGCATTCTGACGTCATTTTCAGGGGTAAAATTTTAATGCAGTTGCTCTTATCTTAAAACAGTGTAACCACCATTTTACACTAAAATGCTTCAAAGGGTTTAAAAATGGCACTTTCCCCATTTGTCCTTGCATGCATTGATTCATCTCCCTTACCCACTCACTAAAGAAACAAAGGGCTGTGGTTCTTCCTGATCTCTCCCTCCTCGCCTTCTTTCATCTCTCACATGTGTGCTATTTATGGCAAGGCTTCATTGCCCCAAGCACAATATAATCTAGACTGTAGCATCTTGATCCGTGTTAAATCAGAGAAACTAATCAGTAAGATCTATCTTTGGTGATTAGTGACATCCAACAGTGGATATTATTGCTTTTTTGTATTTGACACCCATTTTTTCCTGATATAGATAAAAATTCCAGGTAAATGTTAATCTTATATTTTTACTTCTCTCCTTTAAGTAGGGACTGGATAGAACATGCCCACCTTGATACCCACTAGATGAGTTGGAGTATAACTCCATAATTCCCAGACAGCATTGCCAGAGCACTAGGCTGGAGAAGGCTCCTATAATCTAATTAGGCCAGGGTAGGGTAGGGGACATAAACTCTGCTGGTATGCCAGTGGCATATCAGCGGAATCCTATGTATCCTCAGCTCAGGATAAGTGGGAAAAGAAAAATGTTCAGCACAGAAGATGCAAAAATGCTGCAACAAAGACAGACAACCATCTGGTTAACATTCCTGGAAATACTACTAAAACTTACCTGTCAAGGACTGTGAAAGACTATGACCACATTTAGCCCACAGACCCTGTATCACCTTACACATATTTATCCATGCACACCCCACAGACAATGACACCAGAGAGGTCTGTCTGTCAGTTCCAGTTGCAGAACCAGCAGTGATCCCTTTATACCCAGTCCTGAGTTTTCCCTACAGATGTTCATGTCTCATGAAGCTTACAACCACTATTTTGTAGCAAAATACACAGGGAAGAAGAAGAACACATACAACACAGAATCATCATAACTCCCTAGGCAGAAGGCCTTCAGAGAACCTGCACAGACTGTGGATGAAGTTTCAAGACCCACTGAGGAAGAGTTGAGGACATGCAAAAGGGGGAGCCACAGACATGCTGTCAGTACCAACTTGCATTAGTCAATTGCAGAGCACAGAGGGTTGGAAAACACGACATAGTGTTGGAATAGCAATGGCAAGAGATGACATTAATAGAGAATTTTACCAAAGGGTTAATCTATTCTTAGAGTGTTAAAGATATAATAGCAGGGGTCACCCAGGATGCAGAGCTAATCAGCTTCCCTGGATCCATGTAGATAATACAGCCTACTAACAAGGCAAAGCCAAATTGCTTCTTTAATCAGGGCCTCTTGTACAGAAAAAGTTGAGTTCTTATTTCAGTGTGTTTCTGTGCGCCTTTTACAACCTAGTAAGTTTGCTTTGCCAAGCTTCCATTTTAGGGATTCAGTTACTTATCCACCCATGCTAGCATGCAGGTGTTTGAATTGCACTACAGGCAGAAAGGAATATTGTGCCACTCATCTTTATCATATGTAACAAAAAATGAGTCATGTCAAGAACAAAAGAAAGGGTGCTCCATGACCTGAATTCATGTTACAAGCGTCATAGAGCAGTCCCTTGACATCTTCACACCCTTACTGATTGTTTTATCCTGACTCCAGCAGCATCTCGCTTCTGCAGTGAGGTCTGCCACCGCAGAGGAGCCGCTGCCCCTAAGCTGATCAAGAGCTCTGCTTACCCTCTTTTGTGTCACGTCCAGAGGCCAGCACAAGTGAGATCATACTAATCTCTTGGCCAGTGTAACTGTGCCAGTGGAGCATTCCACTTACTTATCTGCCATTTTGCAAGCAAAGCAGGGCTTCTGCCAAGTCCTGTATTGCCTTGTGGAACTTTATAGGGCTGTGGTCCTCTAACTAGAGTGTTACCTACCTACCTATCTACTTATTTACCATATTTATATGCTAGCCCATAACACAAATTCTCTGGAATGCAGAGAGTATAGCAGTATAAAATGCTAAAAACAATTTAAACTAAAATACAGATTTCAAGTAAGAACCCTAGATTAAAAATCATACATTATTTTAAAAGTTTTGAAAGAGAACTTCAATATGACACCAGTTGACCCTCTTTGGGAAAGCCATTCTATAACTTATGAAAAGGTCCTCTCCTTGCTGGCTGCTAGTTTTGGCAGGGATACTTTGAAGAAAATCTTAAGGTTTGCTATGTACTTATAGAATTTTTTTCCAGATTTAGGATAACTTGGCACCTTGTGGTGAGTTTGTTTGGAGTATCCTTAGTTGCCTAAAGAATAGTTCTGCAAGAACTGGAAGATTTCATACTCCTATACACACACACACACACACACACACACACACACACACACAGAAGTTAAGCCTGGCAAAATATGCATATCTTTGGGCAATATCTTGGTCAGCAGTCAGTCTTACTGTTTGCATTTCACTTCTACATCTGTATTCCTAGATTGGAATCCAGAACTATACAACTACATCAAGTTGCCAGTCGCGTCCTAGCCAAAGCCACAGTGATTATGGGAAGCTCTTTGTGGTGTTAGTCATTATTGGCTCCATCTGTGTTATCATCATTATAATGGGACTGATCTACAACTGCTGGCAGAGGCGCCTTCCCAAGATGAAGAATATGGTGAGTCCCTATATGGTGTAGCACTTGAACTCTTACTTATCAGAGGACCGAGAGTAATTGTGGAGAGTGCTTCCTGACTGCTTGTCTTCATTCCCACTGCCATATTTATTTACCTTTTTATTCTTCCTCTTTTCCCCTTTACTTCTCTTACAGTCACATGGTGAAGAGTTACGATTTGTTGAGAATGGATGCCATGACAATCCCACCTTGGATGTAGCCAGTGATAGCCAATCAGAAATGCAAGAAAAGAAGCCAAGTGTAAATGGTGGTGGAGCCGTTAATGGACCAGAGAGCTGGAATGTTCTCATCAACAAGCGGGCGGGTGAAGAGGGAGAGGTATTTGAGGAGGATACACACCTTTAAAAGAGAAGACCACATACCTGAATACACTCCTTCTTGACTTATGGGCCATATGGTGAGGGTGGCTCCTCAGGAAATTATTTTTCAGGTTTGGAATAGATCTGCCCATCATGGTCCTGAGGCACCATCACAGTCCTGGAGCCAGAAGGGTAACCCTGTGCAGAGGGATGGGGGGTGGGGAGTGTTTGTGTGTTGCTGTCAGTAGCGCCAATGCTTTAATTACTTTTAAATGCACTCGCTCTAGTTCTTTGGTAGAAGTGGAGAATGGCCAGGTCTGGAAAATGAATGGTAATCAATGCTTATTGTTGCAATATTGAAGTTTACTACAATATTCATCATGGAGACAGTAGGCCAGTTTCATACAGTAAGAGCTCTGTTCACAATCTGTCTCAGGTGCAATAGAAGTAATGTGGTAAAACTCTGCATATTTCTTACCTAAGCTTGTGGTGTGGTTTATTAAGACAGTCTTGCAATTTGGCACCCATTCTGTTGGCCAGTATGAGAAACTGAACCTTACAGTGAGTGGCTTGATGGACTTTCTACTCAAGCTGCCACGTGGAACATAAATATGACTGAGCAAATGTATCTTTTTGTGGGCTGAGATTTTTTTTAAACTTCTCTGTAAGGTTGTGTTTAGGCAAGCAAATATATTGTATACAGGTACCAGATATTTAATAGTGTCCTAATTCCAGTTACTAAATGATAGGTTGCATTATCCCCTTACCTTTGCAGTAGAAGCTCCTTTTGAGGATCTAAAACTCTTCATGGAAATAGCATAATTTGACCTGGCCCTGAACTGATCTAGGCTGGTTGGTCTGAATTGAGAGGACTGCTTTCCTAATAAAGAATGAATTTCTGATATCACCTGAATAAGACCTCCTGAACACCTAGAGAAGTCTAGATAGGGGGAAAAAATGAGCCTGGAAGGTCATGGTCATTTCAGTTACTGTACTTATTATAACAGTAAGAGTGATTACTGCTTCTAATCTTGAATGAATCAGATGGAAAACCCCACACCTGTTTGTGTACCTGTAAATTTTGATTTAACTCCAGCTTGCTAGAGTTAGTATATTGTTTAGCTCCTTAATACACTTGAGATCAGATTTAGATCCTTGAGCTCCCTTATTAATGCTTTTTTGACATGACTTGGACAAGCCAAAATTTTCCAGGCTTCTCTGGAGGCTATTTATTAAGAAGCACTTACATATACAGAATATTCAGTTCTGCTGATTGGTCTGAGATAGTTTCCCCAGAATGCTACCCCATCACACACATCCCATGGTTTGTGTCACTTTGAAAAACAAGAACACTTGCTTAATGATTGCATATCTAGCTGAACTGTAAGTTCCCATTAATACTTGCTTTTGAAGAGAATCATTACACATAAAAGATTTGTGTATAATTAATAAGGACTGACAGTGAGTTGTAACTAAAATCTGTTGGCATCTAATCTGTAGCTCACTCTGAGCACTGAAATCTGATCTCCACAAGACACAAAGCAATCTTGTCAGCACAGTTTAATTTCATATATAAATATAGAAGTACTGCATAAATGTCACCTTTAGACAGTGTTGTAAAGACATGTGTTTTTTTTTTAAATTGCACTTATGTAAAGTAAATAATTTCCTAGCAAAATTTCAGTTGCTTTAGTCAACTTATATGAACATTTCAGGATCGCATTTTCCTTCCTATGGGGAAACATAGGCCATTTGAACTATCCCTGATATATGCTATTTTTCCACAACCTTCCTTGTTCATTTGCTTTATTGAGTGAAGCTTACTCCATTCCTGCTTTTTTCATCTGTATAGGTTATGGGGAGCTGTTAGTCTCAATCTTCTTTGCAGTAGTTCTTTACTTGCTTAGTTTTTTAAAAATGCAGCCATATTCCATTTCCATCATTCTGTTTATCTCCTAACTTTGTTTTAGTATTCAGTTTGATTATTAATTGCTCCATTACCAAATCATTATATAGAATGTGTGTTGCTACTATGCAACAAATAGCCTTTCATCTTTGGGTAGAACATGGACATTGAAATGACCCTGTTCTATATTAATTATGGAGGCAGAATGTACAATTAAGCAAAAGGATAAAATTATGGGAAGGGGGGTAGCCTAGCAGTAAAGCATCTGCTTTGCATGCAGAAGGTCCAGGTTCAGTCCCCTCTTTCACCAGGTAGGGCTTGGAAAGGCCTGAAAGAGTGCTGTCAGTGAGTGCCAACAGTACTGGCCACATCAACCAGTGGTCTGACACTGTATAAGGCAGCGTCGATGTTCCTATTTTTCATGGACATATCTTGTACATACACAAACTTTCACAGTGAAAAAGACACTAACTCCAGTTTGTATTCCATATAACGAATAAATCAGATACAGGAAACTTACTCATAATGCTTTCAAGGCTGCCAGTGAATGTTAAAGTGGCCAAAGTAAGTCTGTATAAATATAATTCACCCAAAAGATAATAGGGTGTCATTTTTTAATTCTCAAATTTGCTCCTTCACATAGCCTTTTCTGTGCTTAACCTGTGGCCTTTCTTGTTCATCTTGCAGACGAGTGGGGAATCAAAATAAGCATCAGTGCAAATGCTGTGTGGCTTTGCGGATTGAATATACTGAAGTTAGGATCAAATAAGGCTCTTGAATAAGGTAGAGGCAGTGGAAATAAACTATACTTCTGTATCCCCAACTATTAATAACTAATTGACTGCATTTCCAGAGCTCTCTCCTTTCTTTTTATTTCTTTCTCTCTTGTGGACTTTGTACTTCTGGTAAATCATTCTGTTCTTTCTTGGAGAGTCCTTTGTCATCACACAGACATCACTTTGCATCCTCCTCTCGTTTCTCTAGTTTGCAGCTGTGTTTGCCTTTAGGATTAGAATGCACCCATTTTATGAATGCCAAATTGGAATCTCACTGACCCAAACCTACTTGCATGCGTCATAGTGTTCTACTACTATTATAATGCTCAGAAATAGAATTCATTTCACACTTCTAAGCCAGAGCATGTTTAGGGACAAGGGCGGGTGGGCAGGCCTCATATATACATATATATACACACACACACATACTTTCTAGAAGCTTTTGTGTCCACATAGTTGCTGTATATTTCATTAAAAGTTAGGGCCATTATTCACAAAATGGCCACCACAGGCACTTTGGTTTAAATTACGCCTGATGGTGGATGTTCATGAGGGATCATCTTCATGTCATGCTAATATATATTTATTTGTGAAAAACTGTGATGGCATGGCATAAATCTCCTGATCTATGTTCAATTGCTTCATGCAGACAACTTGACAAGTGAAGACAATTATTACAAGAGGAGATTTAAAGTGGTTTTCATATGGTTGCCATTGGGTGTGCTCCAACTTGCTTTAGTAATACAATGTGTTGGCTATTTAATTCAGAACTTTCTAATAACGTTACATGCACAGCAGTAAAACCATCCTGACTACCATATCCTTTAATTAATTTGGATTAAGTTATAGTTATAGCATTAAATAATTTATTGATAATGTACTGGCTTCTCTAACTCAAGTTTATACACCAACAAAACACAGAGATGGCAAGGGAGAAAGTGAGCAGTTTATAAAATAAAGTACAGTTTATAGATTATACACATGGACAGATTAACCCTAATCATTAAACCGTTAAGACTGTTTATCACATGAAAAAACCATTGTGTGATGATGATTCCCAGACATTTTCAGTGGTGATATTTGTATTTAACAATAATGTGTGTGCATGGTTGTTAACTGACCATCTGGAGATGCATCTTCAAGGAAGCCATTTTTCACAAAATAGATTCTCATGTCTTAAATTCTTAACTGTCATATTAGTAAACAGGTTTTGTGCTTATTCTGCTTTTTTAAAAATTTAACATCTGACCATGTAATAGCCAAATCAATTTCTTCTAAATAGGCAGGCAGATGAAAGGAAATTAAAGGGGTCTTTAGCAACCAGTACAATCAATCTTTGAAAACCTTTGTCTTGAATGAACAAGAAATTTTGGGTATGATCAAATCAATGTTTTATCTTATGTCTCTTTATTTGTCTATCTATACTTTGAATGAAAATTGAAAAATTGATTGGAGATCTGTTACACTTGTGTAGTTTTTAAAAAACTGTGTTGTTGTTAATTTGATCAATAAGAATTAGCATTAAGGGTACTTCCAGATGAGGTTTTTGTCATAAAACCACTGTCAGTGATTCATAGAATTCTATAGAAGGTCCAGATGACATTAGATTCCTTTGATAACCAGCCTCTGTTTTCCTACCATTCAGGTTTTTTTCTTTCCACAAAATATATATATTAAGGATGAAAAGAGAAAATAGCTGTACAATTTATTTTGACTGGTAGATCTATGAGCTTTCCAGCTGGAAGCACCCCCTGTCTAAATTATCAACCTTGCAAGCACTGAAGGGACACAATTTTCTCTCTGGCAAAATGCATTTATGAGGCCATCTTTGCCATATATGTTGAGGTACACTGACCTCTGGTGGTACCTGTGAAGAACAGGCTCATGGAAAACTAATGGATTTGTCCCTCATTACCACCACCCTGCATAGCCCCCTAAAAATACCATGGTTTAAATACCAACAGTTAATTGACAAAAATTGATCATTTTGTAGTGTTTATCATTTTAAAGCCACTTGCAGAAGAAAAGTAATGGAATAAAAGACAAGGTAGGGACTGGATTCTGCCAGTGTATGGGAAAGCTGTTTTGTTATTATCAGGGAAGTCTACTTGTTTGAAAACTAGGTTGCTGAGTTTAGCAGTATATTGTTCCTGGCAAGTTGTATCCAACAGTGAAATAAATATAGAATCAGTACATTTCTGGAATGAATAAATAAATGTGGAAAAATACATTTCTGGTGGATAGGGGCTTCAGTAATGAAAGAAGAAGGGAAAAAACTGGTGCTTTGAGAATAGGAAAGATCAAGTATATTCCAAGTGAATGGAAGAAAACAGAATAACACTTCTGAAGTATGACTTGTGGGTAATGTGATGATAGAGTTGGAATAGTTGATCAAATGATTACTTTTTTCTTACCTTGAATTCTCAGTAGACTTGTAATGTTTCACTGTATCACTAATTGTATGAAAAAGTAGTTACATGTTTAATTGTTACAGATATAAAATTACCAGCTTCTTTTGCGGGTGTGACAGTGTGCAAGGTTTTGAACAATGCAAAATTCTTAAGGCACAGTCCTATGCATGTTTAGAGTTGCAAGCCCTGCAATTCCCATGCTTGGAACTATTGGATTTTTCCCTTCTAAGCACGCATAGGATTTTACACTTAAACAATTAGACCAATAATCTCAGAAGACTTGCTGCAACTGCTTTCTGATTTAACTGACAGCCATGCTAAATAGAAAACTAAACTCTAAGTCTTCTGTGTTCACCATTTAAACTCAATTTTTTGGATATGCCAGGTCTAGGTTTCCTTACAAGGAGACTATTGAATAAATTGAAGAACTTAACAATGTGTTTTCAATCAGCAGAGTAATCGGCAAGGTGCCTATCAACTGGAATAGACTTTCAGTGAAGGTTGCTGGTTTGAGCAAGATGTCCAAAGAGGGATTGGGCTAGTGTCCAGATTATATACTTGTTAATAGCAAGATAATAGGTTATATCTGTTATATCTAACAGTACTGACACACAGGGTTCTCATAATAAGCTGGTTCTAACAAAAACAAAGTGCAAGCTTCTCACCTTAGCAAATTTAGCTGTAGCTAAGCAGCCTACTAATAAGCAAGGTTACAGGGAGGGCTGGCAGATTCCCTCAGGCATCACATCTAGTTGAAATGTAAGCTAGTTAGATACTGGAATGGAGAGCTTGTTATTATCTCTGACAGCAAACACCTGCTTGGTGTTTCCTATGAGGCTGAGTGTATCGTGATGTCCATCTTCCCTAGGCAAGATGAAGAATACTGATATCCGGGACATATGCTAACATAGCTAACTCCTAATGGCAGTTTGAGCTTCCAAATATATAACAGGCAAACCATGGTTTAGACAGTGTGTCTGTTCTTGTTTCCCATCTGCTCCACATGCAGCTTTTAAAGCTCACAAGCTCGTTCCTGTCTATAATAGAGCTCCTGTCTAGGGAAAGAAAAATGGCCTTAAGTGGTTTGTTAGCAAAGTCAGACATGAAGGCAAACTGCATTCAGCACAAAATCCAGTTAACAAACCAGCTTCCCAAGGTTGTTTAATATACAGCCCATCACAAGCCATGATTTGTTAACCGTTTTCAGTCATACCCCAAATTAGCATTATGTATGAGTACTGCTGTATTTCAAAGCATTGCACTTGAAATCTGCTGTTGTTTACCGTCTTGTCAACAGCAATGTGCCCTGATGGCAAAAGAAGCTGCTCACAGTTATACTTGGCACTGAAGAAGAAAACTAAGAGCCAAACCCAAATTCCTCTAAGATGAATATGAATATATTTTAGTTTTCTTTAGATTAAAACATAACACCTACATATCTTGACACTCTTTCAGATGTATGACTGCTTGTCTGATTGCATCTTCTAAGATTCTTTTATTCACTTTCCACATACATATATGTAAGATTTATTCTTTGTCACTAAATATGGTGGTTTCAATTTCAGCAAATTCTCAATTATGGCATTATTGCTTTAAAACTTTTTAAAGTACATACTTGGTGGGGTAGGAAGATGCCTAGTGGGTCAGGTAATATTGCATTTTATGAATTGGATCCAATAGGCTTACTGAAATAGGTCCATTCTAAATATGATTAAGATATAGTAAAGTCTAATATCAAAAGCCATTGTAAGGCCTTTGAGATGTTCTTATTTGGCTTCTGTACCTTCTGTACTAACTTCTCAATGGGATTTTCCTTGACAAAAGCCCATCTTGATCATTGGATGCTAGTGACATTCACAAAAATCTTTCTCTTCCTGACTTTTGTCAGACTTGGGTTCCCCCCCCACCGCAACTTTTTTGGAAATGGGGGTTAACTTGTAAGGTAGTTAAATGATATGAACAAATATGTTAAAAGCATCCAGATGGCTCAGTTCAGCCTGTTCTTAAACTAGCTTAGTGGTGTTCTGCAGTTAATCAAATTTCTCCTAAGGGCCAGTGTTCTTGAAGATCCATTTCCAGCATGACAAATTATCCAGGAGAAATAATATATGAGCTGGAACACAGTGCAACACCTTCAGCCATCTGAAGCTGTGGAACAGAATATGAACTGTTTCTACCTCCACCTTCTCCCCTTTCAATCCTACGACCTACCTTCTCTTCAGTATCCTGCTCTGAAGGATGTGTTACGAGAACAAGGCATTGGTATGGAAGTGGTCCTGGGGAATGCAGAGCAGTTGGACTAGCAGCGCTCTGGGGAGGGCCATGTTGACCACTCTCCTGCTGCAGCAGGAAAGCTCCAGGCATGACACCTCCAAGAGCCTACCCATCTACTGCCTTGTTCCAATGGATCTTCACAGTAAACCCTTGAGTACCCAGTGCTCTGAGCCCTGTTTTGCTGCAGTTTTTGCCACAAGGAGAGTGGTCAGTGCTCATTTGCAGAGTGGCATTGCACCTATGCATTACTCAGATTGAGGCCAATGGCAGGCAGTGATACCTGTTCTGGAATGCTCCAACAGCTGCTTTCCTGCTGCCTTTTTTTCTGCAACAGGACCATGGCCAGCAGAGATTTTTGAAGTTGTTACCTGCCCTATGCTCACTTTAGGAGGCACAGAGCACCAGCGGCATCAGAACCTACACACTCCCAGCAACAGGACACACAGAATCCACTGCCCTTCCAGATGTGCCCATGAGGCAGGTTCACCCCGCCTCGTGGAAGGGCCAGCCCTGTGTAGGATATCCCACATAAAGTGACCAGTCCTTACAAAAAGTCTTAAGAAAGTTAAGCCTGTGACTGGTCTATACCAGTTCAGACTGCTGGTGGGGACATGATGGAATGGCTTCCCATGGTAGGAAAAACAAAAACAACCCCTGCACCCCTCCCTATACATAAAAGACAGGTCAAAAAGTGGACTTTTAGAACATTTGCCCCAGATATTAGTATTCCACAAGCTAAACTTTTATTTTTAACGTCATTCCCTACCTGCAGTCCAACATAAAGCCTGAATTCACATAATGACTCACAGGCACCTTCCTGAGAATGCAAGTCATAACCGCAGCTTATTGTACTATCTGAACACAATGGTGATGAGTTACGTGTGGGTTAAATAACCCTCACATAACTCTAAAACATGCCACAGGTTCTGTGAGCATGTTTAACCATTGTGTAAGTCACCCCTGCTGGTTTTGGATGACATTTTGAGTATTTTAAACAGCAGCCTATTCACACCTCAGCCCACCATAGATTAAATAAGCAACAGTGGGCTGTTTGAACATGCAAACAGCCCATAGGCTTACTACCTCAGCCGCAGTTGGTGAGAACTAGACTTTATGGTATTTCTATGTAGGAAAAAAATATTTACATGTACACACTACCATATGTAAACAGCATATACATCTATTTTACCTTGTATACACTAGTTTGGGAAGTTACGGCCAGACAGCTTTCTGGAGCACTGCATGTACATGCAATGAAGCAGGTGTCCTTTTCAAACATATGATCATAGGCACTTTTCTTAAATTTGAGTAATGCTGTGGAAAGTAAAACTAAACTAAAAGTGAGGAGAAATAATATCATCTGCCAGTACTCTGTCTTGCACCAGGTTTGGCCAAAAGGACACCACCAAACCAAGGTATGTCTAGGATTGCTGCATGTTGGTGAAGAAGGACCATAGGGAAGAAGAAAGAGGATTACATACAGCTTCACGGGCCACTGTTCTTAACTAATATTCTGGTCCAAGAAATGCGTAGAACACAAGAAGGAACATTTGGCAACTGTCAGTCTTTATTGTGGCTATCTCATTCTTTGAAAACTATTGGCTTAGAAGACTTGAGTGATCTAATTTAGTGTCTGGTGCAAAAACTTAGTCTCTATTGATTGATCCAGCAACCAGAGGAATCATGTGCATAAATTGCTGCAAAGATGCCTCACAGCAGGGCTTTGCCTTGGATATTGACATCTCATGAATCACTGATGAAAATAAAGCATTCTCCCTACCCCACCCCCATGCACATGCAATAAAAATGTTCTCATCTGAAAACCACAGATGTGGAGGAATCTATTAGTCTTGTCCTTTTGTTACATGCTTGTGATGATAACACTGCTGTTAACCTTACTATCCTAGTTCTTAGCTATGTATATTGTACAGATGATGAGAATGGAGAGGATCTCCAGACTACTGCAGTGATTCCTAAATGGTGGTCCAGAGTATAACTGGGCTATGGCAATGGGGTGGGGGAGGTTAGCAAAGAACCAGAAAAAAATGAATGTAAAGGCTTGGGAAGAAATTTGTAAATTGGAATCATTTTATTGGGATGAACTCATGATGATTGAGGCTGCAAACCTATAGTTAATAGGGAATAAATTAAATTGAATATAGATTTGCTTTTGAAGATTGCACTGTTAGTTTAAAACATTTGGGAAATACTGCATGATTGCTTCCTTCTCATCTGAGTCTTATTTTTCTAAACAGACATTGGCCTTCATTTGGAAAGTTTCCTTAATATACTACTTTTCTCAGTGGAAGTTTTACACACTGCAAAATGTGATGGTTCTATCTGTCATTTCACTTGCCAGCATACATTCCCTAGTCACCTGTAGCACTTTTTGAAATAAAGTTTCTGGTTGAAACACAGAGTATTCCTGTGTCTGTTCCTGCCTCACCCCCATTAAACTTACATTCCTGGATAATGCTGAGTTTGAATAAATGGAACATTATATTCAGTGTATGCAATATTGGATAATATATGACATGTGTGCATAAATATGACAGTCAGTTTTGGTGTTGGAACTTGGTAGCACACATAGAAACAAACTGAAATTATTCAAGGGAGCAAGAGAATATCAGAACCTGGCATTCATCGCTAAAGATTTATCCGGCCATCCCCAGAATGCAGAAAAGTATTAGCCCTGCGAGGCAAATAAGGCTGAGATAAAGCAAGTCCACAAGGGGTAGGTTAACATGACATGAGAAGCCATGATGAAATCTTGCCATTGTGGGTCTGTTGTGTCACCTGGATCCAGAGCCAGAGTTCCTGCATGTTAGGATTAGTTTTCTGAAACCACAGTGTGAATCCTCAATCTGCTCTAAAGTTTCTATGGTTTCCATTTATATATATTGTTCTCACCTAGCTAGTAACAGAAACGTCATTGCTTACTTTATTCCCATTAGCCAAGTGATGTGTCCATCTTCCCTCTTTTGGAAAAGAAAGCAACATGAAGAAAGGAGGAGGAAGAATGGAATCATGACAAAACTGTGTTTTCGCTTAATGGGGATTGGGACAATTGAGACAAATATACTCAGGCAAGGGACAAGGGAACCTGCCTTAAGACCACAGTGGACTAATCAAGAGGAAGCTGCTGCAGTCCATATTCAAAAATAGGGAATGTATTTCACATGTAGGGTCCACCAGGATACATGGCAAGGCAGGCAGAACAGAGTTGGGAGAGTAGAAACGGCATTGCACTTTGAACTACACAGTCATCTGATATCTGGGCATAAACCATACCTTGGAAACAGTGCTGGGGTGTTTTTCACATAAACCCAGCCACCCTCAACTACACTATTCTGCACCCTAGCAGGAGTCTGAATTAGCTCAGTTGCTGTGGCCGGGCAGGGAAAGGTCTGCAAGCTAGCATTGGTTTAGGGACCTGAGAATGAACTGCAATAGAAAATGATGTTACATTGTGACAATTCCATCTTTTCTCTTACTGGTAGTATATGTTCATTGTATGAGGATACTTTGGACTGATTTATTTATGTAAGCACCAAAATGGCCAGAGTGCTTACACATTGATCTAGTTCCAATGATTAAAACAAGCCATGTTGTTTGAACCTTTCCCACTCAAATTTTCAAGGAAGATATCTGAAAATTGGTACAGACATACTCCAAAAAACCTGGATTACTAGAAAATTTTGAAAAGACATGAAGTGGGAGATCCAAAGAGTACCCTCAGATGGTTAATTTGCAACAACACAAAGTATAAAATGGACATTTGGTACATTTAATTCAAGGTGTCCTGATTACTAGAAAATACAGAAATGGGACAGTTTTACTCAACAGCCAAAATATTGCTTCATCAAGTCCATCCCTCTGCCACAGAGCATGCTAATCCATGTAGGAGATGCAGCGCTGGACAGAGATCATCTCTGTGCCTTTTCATACAATTTCATTAGCCTGAGGGACTGTGATTACTACTGCACAAATACCAGTATCTATATGACTTGTGATCTGTGACTTAATTCTATTAGAAGATAAATATATTTGTTAAATAAAAATCTATTTGTGTCTTGTTTAAAACAATTCAATGTCCCAGAGACAAGTAATTATGCATATTTAGTGAAATATTAAAATGGAGATGCAGACTTGATGTAGCAGTCCTATGTATGCTGACCTGTAAGTCCCATTGGCCTTACTAGCACTAACTTCTGAGCAGACATACATAGCACCGAGCTGCTTATCTTGGCTAGGTGCCAGGACAGGTGCATGATTCACAGTAGGCTGTCAAAGACAGAGAGCCAAATTTCAGATTTGAAAAGTGAGTTTCAACTGGCAAGCTGAACTGAAGTTCATCAAGGACTGATACAGAGGATGAAGGCTGGAACTCATTTTGGAATATGGGGGTGTATGAATGGCAGTTCCTTATTCAGGAGGCTGATTTGGCTATGTCAGTTAAAGAACTGGGGACCAGGAAGCAACTTCAGCCTTGTGTTTGGAAGCAGGAAAATGTTGCACTCTCAGAATGGATTTTACTATCTGAAATGTCTGCTTCCCTCTGTATCATAGTAAGGCTATCTGTATCACGCTAACATGCTTTCAACTGCCATGTAAGACTTACTTGGGTTGGCTTTCTGTAGCCAGTATGAAACCAACACTTGCAAACAGGTTCAGTTTTAATCTTCTCTGGTTAAAATCTGCTTTGGCCTCTGCTAATCAGTATTTTTGGCAAAAGTTGGGAGTGGAGAAACCTCTCTGGTTTCTTATTTGGGGTCTTTATTTGACATTAATCTCCACTTATGAGAAGGGATCACCACACAATTGCTTGGGCAGTGCATGCTGCTGGCACTGCTTTTACGTATCTACAAACTAGCTTGTCTTTGGTGAAGAGCCCTTCAGCTCAGCTACCTTTTATTAAACACAAAGCATGTTAACCTTTTTTAGGTGATATAAGTTGATGAGTTTGCTGCAGTCTGAGGCATTTTTATACAGGTTCTCTTGGCTATGCTGTTTACAACATGACCACATGATGATCTCAAGCATTTGTAAAATGAATTATTTGAAACATCTGTACAGACCATTGCGTAATTGCTCTACGAGTTGTTTGCACCTTGCCAAGAATTGTGTGTGTACTGGGTAAGATTGCAGTGATGCCCTTTTTCTTGTAGTGTTACATTTCACCCGTAAAACTTAAGTAGGCCACCTCTCTTAGATCCTGTTAAATATTTTTCTCAACTTCAGCTCCCATTTGAACTGTGATAATCATGATCCAGAGTGGTTCTTTCCTCCCAGCTGCAATAAAGGGGATAACAACAGCAATGTTCGTAGGTTGTTCCTAGTTTTTGAGGTCCCAAACAAAAAGCAGTGGGCTCCCTCTCTCAGTGAGTCTATATTCCTGCCACTATTGAGACACTACTGTTTCTCATCCTCATTATTCCTACCACCTACTTAATTACAAGCAGAAAGCTAGTGAGCAAACAGGCAGTGGCATTATCTGCTTCTCACCATCATCTGGACCAAAGCAAGAGGCAGGTGAACAAGCAGGTTGCAAAGGGGAAGAGGAGCAACTGCAGTGGGTGCTATTGCAAGGCCTTTAGCAGGTGCCTAATCATGCCTACCCTGGTTCCTGCAGAGTTGCAGAGCCCACCGTGTTTCTAGCTCCCTGATCGGGTGACCCATCCAACAATTGTCCAGTTTTGAGAATCATTTTCCAAAGAAAGATGTCTGGGAGAGAATAGGGATTCTATTGGTGTACCATCCATTCTGCGGCCTACCAGTCTTCCTTTCTGAGTAGACTCACCAATGGTACTGGAATACTCTAAGCCTTTTGGGCTGGAGCACTTCAGCATATATGCGGGAAATGCCTTATCATGAGTAGTTCAGGACTTCATGACCTTCATGGTCACTATGGCTGAGTTCCTTGGGATATTAATTTAGCACAGGATGCTCTTAATCTGATGTCCTGTGCTGGGCAGGATAATGGTGCCCTGCATGTAGGAAACTTTCCATACTGCTGGACAGATCCAGCACCAGGTAGGATTTATGATTATTGGGATATTGAGTCTCAACAAGGTAGGGGGATCAGTTAAATTCGTCTTGGCTACTATTCTTCTAGTTGTTTTTTCCAAGTAATTTCTAAATTATTTTCACTGAATTGATTTACATACCTGTTGTTGTTTTTACATTCTTGTGTTTGCCATTCTTTTATTATTTTTAATTTCACTGTTACAAATTTAGAAAATATGTTGGATCATTCAGCCTCTGCCATCCAGTATTACCTCAATATTATTATTGATTCTATTGACATGCTGCTTTCAGCATTTCTAAGCTGCCCACAGAACCTTTGGGTTACTAGGGCAGTACAGAATAAGAATACAAGGCTGTTGTGAGCCTCTGTCAGTTACATTACCTACAATATAGAGACAGTAACTTTAATGGGGACATTGCCTGATCATATTAAAATAAACAAGAACCGAAATCACACTTTGTACACACAATAAAGACCGAATTTGAAAGCGCATTGATTCCTGTGCAAAGGGAGGGAACTTTGCAGCAGTGTTGGCTGCTTCAACCTCACTGCAAACGCTGAAGCCTTAAGTTTCTTCCTTTCCTCTTGTCATGTTTCCCCCGCAAAACCAAACAAAGCATGGCATCACAGATAACCGGGAAGCCCCATCCGTTGATAAAGGCCTAGCTGTCAGCCGAGCCTCGCTTTTTTCTACATTCCAGTGTAACTGGATTCAAGGTTCCGGGTCAGAAAAAAAGCTTCCAGGCGGCTTGGAAAGCCTCCTAGAATTCTCCTTTTCCAATCCGTCCATGAAGGCAAAGCACGGAGATGCTCATCCTCGTTTGTGTAGTTCTGGAACAGGGAACTCAACCTCCTGCGGATTAAGCAGCCAGCGCCTCCCTCCATGGTGCAAACGAAGTGGCGCCCGCCCCGGGAGCTCCGCGCGTGCGCGGGCAGAGCAGCTGCAGCGTTCGGCCAGCCTGCCCACAACTGAGCGTCATTGGACCTGGTTGGCCTGGCACGAAAGGGGCGGGCGACGCAGAGCAGCCGTGCCCGCGCGCCTCTCACCGCCCCCTGCAGCTCGAGAGCGCGCCCGCCGTTCCAGGGCGAGGGGACGGCGAGCGGGGCGGGCGCGCGCGCTGCCGTGTCCCAGCAAGGGCGGGGAGACGAGAGCAGGGCCAGCCTTCCCGCGCCGCTGTGTTTACAACCGAAGCCGACTCTTCCGGGCTGCCCTCTCCAGGCTCGGCCTGCTGCCCCCACTAAACCTTCCTCGCTCGCTCTTCCAGGCCGGGTCAATGCGGTGCCTTCCGCCGCCGGGCCATGGACACCAGCGACCTCTTCACCAGCTGCAAAAAGGGCGATGTTTGCCGAGTGCGGTGAGGCCCTGGGGGCGGTGGAGGGGGGCTTCGGGGCCTCCGAGGAGGCGAGCGGCCTTCTCTCCTGGGCTGAAAGTTGTCAGGGTGGTGTCGGGCTCTGGAAGGACATACACAGGTTGGCGCTTAGGAGCTTAAAAATACATGGTGGCCCCGTGTAGGTGGGTAACGCTTGGAGACTAACCGATTGGAAGGGGTAGAAGTTTGGGGCTGTAGAGAGGGTCGGTATGACCCCTGAGTTCTCACTCTTCTGTTTTATTATTTATCTCAAACAGTTGCATGCTGCTTTTCAGCAACCGAATGTTCTGAAAGTGGTTTGTATAGTAAAATTGAGCAACAAAGTGAAACATTATTGGCACGTATGTAAATGAGATGGGCAAGACAGCACTGCACCTATGCAGAATGTCGTTCCATAGGGCCAGCCAACTCAAACCCACATGTTTAGGCTTAAAAGGGAAAAAAACCCCTGCATTTTCCTACTGCTTCTGATGTTCGCTCTGTGCTACTTATTCCCAACATTTTATACTTTTTCCTGATTTTTTTCCTACTGGACAAGCTATGTTATGTACATGATGCCAGCTTTTAAGGATTGTATTTAAGGATTGCCAGATAGCAGTATTCAACAAAGGATTGGATATTAGTGAGTGCATGGTATTTTGTACAGGTGAATGAGCAGCCTGGCAGAATAGTGTTTTTCTTTGCTTTACAGTGAAATGAAGAGGACTATCAGTGGAGGGAAATATCCCCCACCACAGACATAGGCTTGCAGTGGGCTGCTGGAAGAGCAGCAGGACTTTTTGACCCTCTGTTTTATAGGCTTATTTACAAGACATATTATACCTCCTTCTTAAAACAAAATCCTGGGCATGTGTAATATATAATTGCATATAATGTTTTGGTGAGCAAAAGAAGTAATACAGTGTTTTTAATATGGAACATAAAGGATATGTTGCACAGTGACAAACAGCTCTAATGTATTAGTTTAGGATGCAATTCCATGCAGGCTCAGACTTTAAATAAAAATCCTACAAGGTGTAGGACATTTTTCTATCTGACTGCATAGGTTTGCACTTTTAATATCTTAAAGAAAATTCCTGCATGCTAGAAAAGAATGATATTTTCATTATGTTTACTAGTACTTTACCTTGCCTAAATTTGCCTACTTTCCTTCCCAAAGCCACTATGATTTGCTAGTAATATGACTGTTACCATGTTGCTTCATGTCTGTCATGAAGAAGTCCCCAGTTCTTGAAATGTTTTTAAAAGAAAAACAACATCTTCCTGGCTATCAGCTCAGTTTCATATCCTGAAACAGCTGACAACTTCAGATATCACCAGAGAACCAGGACATGAAAAACAGACATATAGAAGGATAAATGTTCTTTTAAGAATTTGTAAAGCTATTCCACCTTTTGTCAGAATAAAATATATTTATTTTAACTTCTTGTTGCGTTTAACTCTAATTTGTATGCTGGTTTTCCCATGACGGTGTGTGAATACAACACTGCCACCAAATGTCAAAACATACAGAAACAAACCGATAACTTTTATTATAGCAAGAATAAACACATATCAGCATAGTATGAACCATTTATTATCAGTTCTCATTTCATAACACGATTATAACACTACATACTCATTTGCATGATAGGCAGCACCAATCACTAAACTAATATTGATTGCAGCATACCTTTTCAATGTGAAGTGTTAAGTCAATAACGAACACTGGCAGGGTATCAATTAATTTTAATATCAGTCTTTGGAACTTGTAAAACCTGTGCATCCGTTTAAACCAGAATGCAATTAACCAGTAGAAATATACATCTGAGGCCTTCTGTGAGTTCCTCCACATCTGGCAGGTGGCTACTCATGAAAGGCCTTTTCTGTGCTTTGTGTCTATGTGACCACACATTAAGTAAAGAGGGATAATAGCCTAGCCTCAAACATCAACTAGTTCCCTTCAAATCTCTACCATGGCTGGTTTTGCTCATGTTTCCTACATTTCATTCATACTTTTCCTCCCTGGAGCTCAGAGTTTCCCCTCCCCGCCAGCCACACTTATTCTTGCAATTTCTCTTTGAGATGGGCTAGACTGAAAGATAATGAGCCATGTGTACATCATCCCTAGTCCTGGCCCAAAACTGTAAGCACTTACCATGTTAGCTCTCTCTTTTGTTTCCAGGCAACAAAACAGAAACAGCACCTGACTTTTCCCTTAATATTGTGTTCAAATTGTCTATTTGTACATTATTGGTTCACCATATAATTGATGGTGTTTAACCATGCTGTAGAACATAGCAATTTATGGGGATTTTGTCAGTCACTATGAAAAAAACAGGTTAAATATGTGCTACATAACCAGAATAGTTATGTAGAAGAGCAAATTGCAAAAACTAAAATGAAGAGGATTCGTTTATTGGTTTTGGGTGAGAAGAGGAAGAGGATTAATACAGGAAAAAAAGAAAAGTCCCCATGTTGCTTTTGCATGGGCACTCCCAGGCCTGTCTGGGACAATTTCCATGACAGCACTTTAAAACAAAAATAAAAATGTGTGCTGAACCTGTGATAGGAGTTGGATGAATTCTTGAGTTAAAGCTGTCCCTTTGTTCCTCTTTCAGATACCTTCTTGAACAGAGAGATGTTGAAATCAATGTCCGAGATAAATGGGACAGTACTCCTTTGTAAGTTCTGTGGTCTTGAGACACACATGTTGTTTGGTAACTTATACAGGATTTTTAGAAACACCATGTTCTTTCAAGCTTTACTGTATTTCCCCATCTCACTGGATACTCTTTACAAAAAAATCTTGTATCATGTTCTTACATGGTGCTCTTAGCACTCTCTCTCAGATAACACAGTTGACGATTTCTTTTACTAATAGAAATAAAGTTCCTAATTTGGAAGACTTAACTAGGTAGCATTGGAACTCCTACCACCACTTTGGTGTGATTATGTATTTCAGTAATGTGCTTAGAAAAGTCTGACTGGATTGAGGCAAAGGTCCATCTAGTCGATTATTTCATCTCAAAAAGTGGCCAGCAAGATGCTTCTGGGAAGCTTGCAAACAGGTTGAAAATCAAAAGTCGTGCCCTAGCAGGCAGCATAGCACATGGATCTCTCTGGCATTGCATAGCATTTACTTATGATGATGTACAGGGGAATCAATCCTTAAACCATTGCATTATTCACTAGACTGTTACTGGAAAAATTCAAGGTGTTGGATTTTGCCTTCAGAGCAATAAACTTAGGCCCTGGATGTGTGGAAGGCTGCATTCTCCTGCATGAACTTTATAGTATACTCTGGTAATTGTTAGGGGCCTTCTGGGTTAGCTCATTCTCTGAACTGAAGTTCATAGAGATTGGGAAAAGGGCCTTTATCATTGTGGCAGCCCAATTCTTCACTGCCTTCCCCAGGGAGGTTGATGGCAATCACATAACTGTCTTTCCAGTAACAGGTAGAGGCCTTTTTATTCACGCAGGTGTTCAAATGTCATCCTCTAGGCCATAATTGTGTTGTTTTGCATGACAGTTACTACTCTTAAGCCGTTTAAACATCTTGTTTATGTAAGCTGCTCTGGAATCATGCACTGATAGAACTGGTTCTAAATACTGTTGTTGTTATGTGCCATCAAGTTGTTTCTGACTTATGGTGACCTTATAAATGAATGATCCCAAATTGTCCTATCCATGACAGCCTTCCTCAGCTCATCTAAATACTACTAATTATTAAATTAACAGATAGGATTCCTAGGATTCCTATTGGTGATGCATAGCAGATCAATACAGCACTGCATATTTCATTGTATCCTCTTTCCCCCAGTTGTGGCTTATGTAGCATCTTGTTGAGAACAAAGGCAGCTCTGTTTTCATAGTTCCACCCTTTTATTTGCATCACGCCACTTTTGTGGTCTTCCTAGCTTGTGCTAGAACCCAGTTACTGTCTTTTATATATATAGAAAACTAAACTGCATAGTAATGTGATATAGGAAGATAAAAATTACTACTGAATGCCTGTGACTTTGGGATAAAGCCAAGAGCAAATATGAGCTGAAACATAATTTTTGTTTGATTTTTTGAATCTCTTGTGTGGTCATGATTGAGGTGGCTCTTTTTTTTTCTTTTCATGCCCTTTAAAAGATAAGCAAGTGCAGCAATAAATAGTTGGTGATGAATGCTAGACAAATAATCTTATGGAGCAGTTTACAAGTGCTTTGCTATTTGCCTTGCTCAGATTCTTTTCTAACATTGTTTTCTACTTGCGTGTTGCAAAAGTGTTATCTTGGGCTATTTTGTAGTCCTTAGGAAGAGAAAGTTAGGAAGGAGCCCTTTGGCTCATTGTTACAACTGAAAAAAATGAGAATATGTAAAGACCTGGACTCCTTCATGGATCACTGCCTTGTCGTGGCGAAGGGGCTTGCGTAGCTCAATGAAGCTATGAGCTATGCCGTGCAGGGTCACCCAAGATGGACAGGTCATAGCAGAGAGCTCTGACAAAATGTGATCCACTGGAGAAGGAAATGGCAACCCACTCCATTATCTTTGCCATGAAAACCCTAGTACCAAAAGGCAAAAAGATATGACATCGGAAGATGAGCCCCTCAGGTCGGAAGGTGTCCTGAAAAAAGGTCTCCCAGCCCTCTAATATTTATTCAAGCATCGCATCTCTAAAACTGCTGGATCTAGGACCTCTGTTACCTTGCAAAGTTGGACTCTTGGGGATCATAATACAGTCAATCATTTAGTGAAGTTTTCATTTCTGCAGGTATGTTTTCAATCTCTTTGCTTTTCTTAACAGGTATTATGCTTGTCTCTGTGGACATGAAGAGCTTGTTCAGTACCTTCTGGCCAATGGTAAGTTCAACATCTTCCTTCTTCTGAAGACTGTCCAATATATGTGGTCACTTTTGTGTGTTTCTAGAATTATCTATGTGAAACTGCATCACATTAAAGGCAATGTATAGTCTTGGTGCTGATGAAAGACTATATACATAATTGTGTTGAGAATGGAATCTCTTGGTTCTGATGGTTCAGCAGCTTGAATGTTTTTCCCAGTGAAGACCTTTTCTTGTGTCTTAGGCCAATACATGATTAGCTTTTTCAGATCCTAGCGTGAAAGTAAAACAGGATGTTGGCAGTTTTGAGATGTTGGCACTAGTTTCTTAATCTAGTTTGCTTGATGGGATTTTCTGGCATAAAATGGACAGAATGTTTCATAAAACATCATGAACTAACATAGTTACTGAATGTGCCAATTTTTCATTATAAAAATCAACATATATAAATTAGGATTCATTGGTGATAATAGTTCTGCTTTTTTAAAAGACTTTCTACGTCTGTTCCTATTGTAGCAGTCCAGAAGTTCATGGGTAAACTGGACTAGATGGAAATCTAGTTTTTCCAGCATTTCTGGAAGAATTCAATCCTCCCTAAAACACAGTGTAAATCAGTAGCATCCACCATTCTGTTGAGTGAGTATTAGAAATTCATAGTAGTTGCTTTGGCTTAGAGTTCTCTCTAAGCTATCAACATCAAGGCTATCAAACATCCAGTCTATCTCTAGCAAAAAGATGTGGCTATCTCTAGGGAACTCTGCAGCTACTGATCACACATCACCAAATGCATCATATAGTTCCCTAGAGATATTCACGGCTTTTCATTAGAGATATTTATATAGGGTTTATGGCACTCTGCGTGTCTATAATTGCGGGTTGTTTCTAACCGAGACGTTTATAACCTGAGAAATACATCTAAAGTATATTCTGCTGAGACAGTCACTTTCCTTCCTTCCTTCCTTCCTTCCTTCCTTCCTTCCTTCCTTCCTTCCTTTCTTTCTTTCTTTCTTTAAGATATTTGTATGCCGTCCTTTGCAAGAACCTCAGGACGGTTTACATAATATACCTTCCCGACCCTTAATATCAATGGTGGAGGTCATCTTTTGGGAACTGTCCTTCCGAGAAGTAAGGAGGACAGCTATCGAGTAGAGAGTTTTCTTTGTTGTGGTGCCTTGATTATGGAACCAGCTCTCCAGAGAGGTTACCTGGTGCTGACATGCCATACTTTTTGGCACTGGACCAAGACCTTGTTATTTTCTTAATGTTTTAATGGTTAGAATGTTTTACTTTTATATTTTAGGGTATGGTGCCTGTTATGGAATAACTACTTTTATGAGCTAGTTATTTTGTTATTTTTATTCATTTTGGAGTGATCAATTTAATTGAATTTTTCATAGTAGTTAAGAATTTAATTATTTGAATTTATTTAATTATTTATATTTAATATTATTGTTAGGTCAAGCAGAGTTATGCATGGCCACTGTTAATATGAGGACAAGAGGTGGGTAGGTTGGCAGCTGAGAGATTTTTAGAGACTTTTTAGAGAGATTTTTAGATATATTTAAAATGATCCTCCGTAATTATGTTTATTGTTTTTATTGTAATTGTTATATGATGTAATTATGAACATCTATTTAAGTAGTGCTTTAAAAAAAACCATTCTGGGAGCCCTGTATGGCTGTTGAATGGCATATAAAAGCAATAAATAAATAAATGACTATCAATTTCTTTCCCGAATCTCTAGTGTTCTTTTTGTAAAGTGATTTGGACTTGGTTCATACACAATGCTTATTTAACTTAATTGCTTGTTTCCCTTCCGAGGGTTTGTCTGATAGTTGATTAAAGAAACCATTTCCCCCTCATTCTCTAGATTGTTTCCCTCTTCTTTTGCCTGCTCCCTACACTGAATCTTAGATGTTTTTGTGGCTTTTTAGTACACAGGAAACCAGCTAGTGTTCTTTACCCCCACTCTCTTCTGCTCTTACGTGCTCATCCTCAGTAGCCTGGTAAAGCATCCCAAGAAACAACCTGCTGTTCTGTGTTCAAATGTAATGTCAGTGTATGATTTAAACAATCGAGAGGGCACAACCTGACAACAAATTGTTGGTTCTCTTTCTGGGTTTTTCACTGTTTAAATCATGGTTAATTAGTGTGGATGGGTTTTCACATCATGACAACCCAAAAGATAACAATCCATGGGTTAACATAACGTGAGTTAGGGTTTTGTTTTTGTTTTATCAACCAGGTCATTCTCAGATATTCTTGTAAGATAGTGCAACTCTAGACAGCATGTCTAAGGACCCAGTGGGTATGCCTTTACCTGCCACTGTGTTTTGAGTCCTATTTTCATTTACAGGGGATTTTACAAGCATGTTCTAATTTGCATTTTAATAAAATATTTCATCTCTTTCTTTATGAATGTAACAGGAACTTTCTCTGGGAAATATTGTAAATTGTATTGAAGCTGATGGTAGAATTATTCAGCAGTTTTTGCTAACTGAGCAACTTGGCAGCTGTACCAGACAGGGATTGATTATTAAGTTTTACTTTACGTGATGACCTGTGTTGGGATCTGAAGAACTCACCAAAGTGCTAACATTGAGGTCTGGATATTTATTGGGGTGAGGGTGGTTTTTACTGTTTGTTTCTTTGTTTTTTGCAGAAAGTTGCATTTTATATAGTATGTGTGATAGGGCAAATCATAAATATGGCTTTATTTACAGGTGCAAAATGTGAAGCAAACACCTTTGATGGGGAGCGCTGTTTATATGGGGCCTTGAGTGATGCTATCCGGCGGGTGCTGAAGGAATACAAGCAGATCACAGCAAAGTGCATGAAGAGGGACTACTATGATGTCTTCCTGCAACGGTGAGGAGATGTATCCTGTTGTTGGGAGGATGGCTGTCTTCATTGTTGACTTGTGAGCTGAGGCAGGGTTTGACTCCATCTTTCATGTTACTGCCTGGAATGAATGGTCTCTTGTCTTTATTATTGTAAGGCGTAATACCTGAAGTTGGTCTGAGGGATGATTCAAAAGCTTTGGTTAGTGCAGAACATGGCAGTAAGAATTTTAACTGGTTTAGCCAGATGGAGTTTTAGTACTCCAATTCTGGCTGCCTGTTTGTTTCTGAGTCCAGAGCCATTGCTGCTATTTAGTCTGCAGCTGTTACACGGATATGTTTGTTGTATTTGGGTTTAATTGATATGCTTGGTTATTTGGTGTTGTTGAAAATACATGGTTTATGTGATAATGACAATTCATCATGGGCAGTGGGCCATGGTGTTTTGTTGTTTTCGCTGAACCTGGAGCAATTCCCATGGGGTGGCTTGCTTGTGGGCAAAAAACCACCTGAACAACCCACGGTGTGTTGCTGAATTTGTTAACCCATGATGGGTTGTTGTGCCATTCAGATCCAGGCAGGTGTACCCTCTGTGGGCTGTGGAAAGTGACTAGCAAGCCACTTACCAAGAGCAGCAAGATCCCCTTGCTACTCTTGCTGCACCATCCTTGGCCAGCACCAGCTTTCCCACCAGTACGCAAGTGGCATAGTGGAGCGCCTGCTAGTGGGTTGGTGTCCCTGCTGCAATTGTGAACCATTTTGTGGCCACTGCAGCTGTTCCCCCACTTTCCTCCCCGCTCTTTGGTTTGTTTTCTCTGATAGCTGGTGACAGTCCCTTCAAATCCCCCAAGCAGCCCATTAGAGGGGGCAGTTGCACGTTCATCAGCACTTTTATTTTAAAAAAAGAACAAGGAGTATGCACAAATGTTTTTGAATGTTTTTAATTAATTATTTAGTCGGGCCTGGGTGGGTCTAAAATGGTGTTACCCAGACAATGTCCTATGGGGTGTCTGCTGTCAAAACGGAGGAGGCACACACCATTGGCCCTGACTGATCCAGAGAGGCTGCAGAGAGCTTTATTTTTCACTTATTTTCTCTTTGGCACCTGTCAGAAGGTGAGCTGTAGAGAGGAACCAAAACTGTGTATGATCTTTGCTCATAAAAGACAGTTAGTCTAGAGGTTCGGCTTCTTTTGGACCTGCTTCTCATCATTTTTCTTTTTCACTGTTTATTGAAATTCAGAAGGCTGGAGAAAATGAAAGACTGCAAGCCACCCCTTTTACAGGAGCACAGAGCTTTAATAGCTAGCTGTCAAAACTCCAGTTCCTTTTAAAAGGGGTTTCTTGACAGAGCTACCAAGGTGAGTCTTGCATATGTGAACATATTCAGATATCAGGTGCAACATGGATTGTTTCAGGAACAGCCCTCCCTTTGTAGCTTATCTTCAGGGTAGATTGTTAGGATGTGCAACACCCCCCTCCGCTGCAATTGTCCTGGGGAAACTTGCTGAAGGTGTCTTTAAATGTTGAAAGAATATGCTAATTTACATTGATTCTTCTTAGAAAGTGGAGCATCTGACTGCGTGTTCCATTTTTTTCTCTCTACAGTTTTCTGACTATTCAACAGATTTTTTTTCTCCTGAATTTCTTTCTAGGCTTCTGGAACAGGGCTACCAAAGTGACATTGTCTTTATTGTCCATGGGAAATCTTTCTGTGCCCATCGCTGCATACTTGGTGCCCGAAGTGCATATTTTGCAGAAATGTTTGAGAGCAAGTGGAAAGGGAAGAATGTCATAGTGCTCAAGCATCCACTGGTGAGGAGATCCACGCTTTGATTTTTGAAGAATGTGTCTGCTGTTGATGCTTCTGTAGCTGCCATTAGCCAGAGGTTAATGACTGATACGATGCAAAGGGCCTGCAAGAGGGCACAAAGCGCCTACAGCAGGGAAGGGAATTAGCTCATCCAGTTTTCTGTATTCAACTAGCAAATGGTCAGCACTGAATTCAATCTTACATAGATATATATGCATACACCCACATAAACATAGGGATGGGGGCTGTTCGCACATAAAGCTAAGAAGTTCCATGAAGTTGCCTTGTTTACCTTGTGTCCTGTGTACGCACACTGGCAAGGTAACGACTCACGAATAATTTCTGTGTGCCTCCAAATGGCGGCACACATTCCATTGGCTACCCATGGCTGGGAATCCATCCCGGAGTGCATTGCTCCTGCATGCATTGCCTGCCTCTTCCACATTGGCCCGCGTGCTCCCTTGGACATATTCTCAGCCATCAGCCACTTCTTTTCCTTGCTGTTTCACAGCGCTCACATTTTCTCATTAGAGTAGGATGGTGGCTCCACTGGGGCAGCAGAGCAGTGACCAGGCAGGGGTGCCAGGCATGGCTGCCCCCACAGTTGCTGCTGCTGGAGGTGCTCCCCGTTCTCCTGGCTCATGCATGCTCTCCAGGGCTTGGCTGCCCTGCTGCTGCCATGACTGCTCCTCATCCTCCTCACCTCTTTGCTCTGTTACTTTTCCCCTCACCACTTGCCACCATGCTTGCCTTGCCACGCTCTGCCTGGTCAGGTCACTGGGACCTGCGCCTTGCACAGCAGTGCTGGCTGCTGCCTCGTGGGGGCCTGTCCCTCAGAAGAGGTCCAGAGGTCAGGGGAATGACCGTGCCGCTCTCATGACACTTGTGCTCTGCCCCTGTGTCCTCACTTCTTACATGCATGAGAGGCGGGGCACTGGGGAGTGCATGCCAAGAGGGGGATGGGGGCATGGAGACCACTAATCAGTGACCCGTCCACCAGCAGCTCAACTGTTACTAGGCAGACGGGGCAGCAGAAAATGGTGGCTACTCTTCCTCCTAAGTTCGCTGGCCAAGATGGGAAAACCATGGAAAAACATTGTAATTCACACAGAAGGAATGCTGGAATGTGGAAACCTTAGAACACACAGTTGATTCTCTGTGGTGATGGTAACCAAATGTGTGACATTTCACCATGCTTCTGGTATTCGCACAGGACAAGCCATTCCTGCCATGGCTTTTTGTTGTGTGTGAATACAGCCAGAGGGAAAGAGAGAGCGCCTGGTACTCTGGGTTATTTAGGGTGAAACCGTCCAGAGTTTTAATGTAAGGTTTGCTGCTGTTTAGGAGCAGGGTATTCCTGGATTGTTTTGAAAGGCTGATTCAAAGGAGAGCAGGAAGGAGGTGGTGAATTCACTTGCTTGCTCCTTCTGTGCGAATTGCTGGTTTGTCCAATTGTCATTAGGTACACTACCACTGAACATGGAGTTTCTATTGATAGGCCAATCCTCTATATGTCTCTCTAATTCTCTTTGTTTTGAAATTTAAAGAAGCATAACATTGCTGGAGCATATTACAGAGCATCCATAATCCTTCTATATTCTGTGTTGAATATTATAGCCATAAGCACCAATTACATGCATGCTGTAATGGTCAGGAAAAGCTGTTCATACTGCATAGCAAAATTCCAAGCCATTGCATTGAACATACAAAATCTATTAAGGCCTGTCAGCTTTACCTGTTTGCTTCTGTTGTGCTCTTCTTTTTAAAATGAGTACCCTTCTTTCCAAACAAATTCAGATTACCTCCTTATTTAAAAAAGGCAACCAGTTGAAAGCAGAAACCTCATATATTATCTAGTTCCAGTGTACAGGTTTCTTATGCTTAATTTATATGCTTGCTTAAAGTTTCAGGGCCTACTAAAGCCTGCCCTGTGTATGCAGCAAAATGAGGTCAGAGATAGACTTCTGAGGTGAAGCACTGCTTCATTGGGACTGCAAGTGTGGGTGCCATTAAAAAAAAAGAAGAGCCTGTAGTGAAACTAGCACATCAAGGGCAGAAGTTCTCAGCCAGCACTTTCCCCGCTATGCTAGTTTTCTACTTGCTGCAGAACACTTGAACAATCAAAAGTATGATTTTTCTATCTTCACTCTGAATGGTGCAGTCCTTTCAGCAATCTCTTCTTGCAGAGATGGTGAACCTGAAATTACTAACCAGAGTAGCTTCAGTTTCTTTAAAATGTCAGTTGACTAAAGGGGAGATTAATCTGGACTTTGGCCAACCAAATACTAAATCAGTCCATAGGCTGGGAATGGTGAGAGTTGTCATCTGGCACGCTTGGAGAGTACCATGTTAGGGAGGGCTGGCCTTAGAATTTAGCTCTTATTAATATGGGTGTCTGTTTCAGACTATAGCATTGTGCAATCTCTGTAAATAATTCCTTTCGTTTCCTTGTACAGATCAATCCAGCTGCCTTTGGCTCCCTTCTGCAGTACCTCTATACAGGTAGGGTTGGTTATGTGCTGCATTGTTACAATACTTGCTGCTTTTGAATGTTATATCCTTGAGAAAATGCATTTTACTTAGGTGTACATGTTGTGCTTAATTTTCCTTTCGGAAAATTAGAATTTGCCTGGTTGTCTGGGTATATTTTTTTGGGTTTTTTGTAATGACTGAACTGGTGGAATACATTAGTTACTGAAAAAGGGTGGGTGATATAAACAACAGCCTTGAAAGGAGGGCATAGAGGTGAACAAGGCAGTGATATTAGAGCCACTGAGCACTGTTTGGAACCGCATGTAACTTTCTAAGAACAATTCAGAGCAATCAGCTTGACACATACAATCCCTACTGCTCCAAATATCTCCCAACCAGCAGTAAGGGCCATGACATTCCCAGGGATTCATGACCCAACTCTGCCTCGGCACTCTTCTGGTATGTTGTAGAGCTGCAGTTTAGTTCAGCCATTGATTGGTTTTTAATTGTAAAAGCAGCATGCCACTTGTCCTTTTTATTTCAGAATTCTTCATCTTGAAAATACAAGGTTGCAGTCCTATACACATTTACCAGGGAGTATGTCTCATTGAATTCAGTGTAACTGAACTTTTCTCTAGACATGTGTAACATTGTGCGCTCCATTTCCTTTTTGGGCAAGATGCTTGAGCAGGTGGTGGCCAGGCAGGTCCAGGCACAGTTGGAGGAAACGGATTATCTAGATCCATTTCAATCTGGTTTCAGGCCAGGTTTTGACCTTTGCCAGGAGAAAGACAGGAGGAGGGTGTCCCTGTTGGTTCTCCTGGATCGCTCAGAAGCTTTCGATACCATTTATCCTTCTGGAAAGGCTGGCTGGGTTGGGAGTTAGAGGCCCTGCTTTACCGTGGTCCCACTCTTACCTGATTGGCTGATTCCAGAAGATGGGGCTGGTGGATAGGGGCACTCACCTGCTGACAGAGGCAGGCAGGTAGGGACTGATAGGCCCTGTCCTCTATCAATTATACTGGCTGCTAGTTGAAGTTTGGGCCTTCTTCAGGGTGCTTACATTAATGTACAAAGCCCTAAACGGTTTAGGGCCTGGATATCTAAAGGAGCATCTCTTCCCATATGTGCCTGCCTGAACCCTCAGGTCATATATGGGTGTCCTTTTCTGGGAGCCACCTCTAAAAGAAGGAAGGTGGCCATGAGGGGAAGGGCCTTCTCAACTGTGGTGCCCCATTATGGGATCAGCTCCCCAGTGCTGATTTCATAATGCTGGCACTGACTCTTTACCTATTTTGGTGCCAGGTTAGAACCTTTTTATTTTCCTGGCATTTTAATTGTTAATGGACTGTCAGCTGTTAACTTTATGGATTTTATATTGGTTTTTATTCTACTAGTTCTCGGCCTGGTGCAATTTGGTTTTATCTTACTACCTCTGACTGTTATTGTGATAGCCTTTGTAACCATCTTCTGATATATTGTAACTGGTTGTGATTTTCTGTAACATATGATGTGCTTTATAGATTGCTGATTTGTAAAACATTCTGAGAGCCAGTCTGGTTAATTGAACAGGTTATAAAAACCATAAATAAATAGAAGACTATTATTTTGCTGAATTTTCCTTCATCAGCAATATTATTTCTGGGTATTCTGCATTCATAGAATGAGTATGACTCATCGTCCCTCTTTTGCTCCGTAAGACATAGCTTCACACTGTATCCTTGAAATGCTGGAAAATACAGCAAAGTGCAATGTTTATACCTCTTTTTAACATAAAGGTACAACTTAAGTTAAATTCCTAGAAGAATTTTTGGATTTCAGTCTGGTCTTGGAAGAAATAGACCTACATGTTACATTCCCTATCTTATCCTCTCTGGTTGTGTTCATCAGTATTTTTTATATTTAGTACATTTATGTATTATGAATGGATTTACTGTAGTTTAAACTTAAATTTTTAAAATACTATTTAAGTAATAATACAACAAATGATACAAAAGACAAAACTACAAGTACAGAATTCTGTCAGGTTGTATCTTTGACAAATGTTATTAGAAATGGTTCAAGACCAGTAGCTTTACTAGGTGTGTAAGTAGAATTCCAGAAAATTAAGAGCAGTTCTCATTTAATCCACTGGATGGTGTTGGAGTATAAACTTGCAACTCTGTTTTATAGGAATGGCTTTTGCACTTTGGTGAACAACAAAATGCTGACATAAAGGAGCTGATCTAAAGGGTGACTGGTTTTGGTTTTTCTTTGCCAGGGCGTTTAGACATAGATGTTGAATATGTGAATGACTGCAAAAGATTGGCCAAACAATGTTGGCTCCAGGATCTCATTGATGACTTGGAAACGAAATGTAAAAAGGTGTACGAATTCGGTAAGCCCTGCCATTGCACTGGCACACTAGTTTATAAGAAAGTGGAAAATCAGCCACTGTTTTTGTTTTGATGAATCACTAATTGAATGGCAAAATATAAATGTAATAATAATTGTTTGTTGTACTTTACCCTTGCACGTTGGAGATCAGAATCCAAGAAGTTAACAACCTAAAACGTATTAACATAGTAACATCTGTTAAGCATTTTGTTTGATCCCCTTCTAAAGTTATCAAAGGTAATGGCCATTGCCTTGTCCTGTGGCCATTAATACCACATGCTACTTGTACAGTGTGCATTCTTTTGTCAAGTCCTGAATTCATTGAGTGACCTTAAGTTCTACTTTTGCATGAGCGAGAAAAGTTTCTCCTTTTGCTTTTGCAAAAATGAGGTTCCTGTAGTGGTTTAGCCCTGTTAGATAGTATGTCTGTCTAACATGGGTATTTATAGTTTTTCCTTCCAAAGAACTCAAAGCAGCTAACATAATTCTCCTTCTGTTTTCAATCTTACCCTCACAACAACAACCCTGTGAGGTGGCTTAAGCTAAGAGTCCGTGATTGGCCCAAAGTCACCAGTTAGCTTCATGGCTGAGTGAAAACTAGAACCCGTATCTCCTGAGTCCCAGTCCTGCACTCTTAACCACTACACCACACTGTAACGCAGTGAAGAGCAGCACAGTGAATTCACCCAGCTTTGTTGAAATTTCCCTATCATTTCTTCAGCAGCCTGTCACTCATTTATCCTCCACTAGTCCTATTGCCTTCCTGGATTTCCAGCCTCTAATGTATTAAAATATTTTATATTTTGGTTTAAAGTCTGTATAATATGATCAAACTGTGTTTCTCCTTGACTTACTGACTCATTTGTTAAGCCAGCGTTTGTATACCACTTTGTCCGAGGTAGATGTCCACTTTTAGTAGGAAGCCTTTTGCTTCGTTAACTTTGCTCATTAAATGTTTTAGCTTTCTCTTGAACTCTGTGATAGGTATTCTTTCTGAGTTTCTGTTACTGTGGTTTTTAAACATCTAAGTATCTGGAAGAGACTTAACTCCTTGGATTCTCCTTTTCAGCTATTCTTGAGGAATTAAAATTGATTCCTGGTCAAGTGTATCCCATAAGAACTGCATGCAGGAAGTTATGCTGTCTTGATTTGGCTAAGAGCTGGGCATGGAGGCCATACTTAGCTGTTTCTGCTGAAGAAAGAGAGTGTACTTTTTGTGCTTTACTGTTAAACACATTTTGTGTGAATATTAAATGTCTTGTCCAGTTTTTCTGCTCATCCAGACATTTGATCAGAACTAAAGCAGGCTAGTTATGTTTTGGATGAAAGTGGATTTGTCCATGTTTTTCTAAACAATGGCCTAGCTATTCTCTTGATATCTTAGAAAATGAATGGGATCTTATTGCTGAGGGAATCTTACTGGGGTCTTATTGCTTGAGACCATATGATGACGGAAGGAAGCTTTTTGCATGAGTGAACAGAAATGTGAATGTAGCTGCCTACAGCATAACCTCACAGACAGCGCAATATTGCCTGAATACCTCTGCACCATAAAACCTACGTCACCTACATGTATCTTCCCCTGGTTTACATCATAGCATACCCAGATGGAATGTCTTTCCTACGAACAAGGAGTGATTATGTCTTTTTCTGAGACTTATATTGAGAAATTAGCAATCCCTCTGACAAAGGAAGGAGTGGGAAGGAACCATGTGAGCAAATTCTCTCTTCACCCGCCCTGCATCCAGCCTTTTATATGCTGGAACAAAGTTGCTAGAATTAAAGAAAGTTTCAAGAGGCAAAAGGTATAATTACACTATCTGCTGACAGTAATCGGGTGTCTTTTGAAAGGCTTTATGTAGCCTGTTCTCAATTAGAAGGTGGCAGGTGTCAGCCCGGTGTGGGGGCAGCTGGTAGTTGGAGGGTCCTTTCCCCACTAGAATTTGTGGCATATCTGGATTAGAATCAGCTACCATTCAGGGCCATGTCTCATTGGGTATGTTGCCTTTTGAGAAAAAGATATTGTACTGTGGTAATTTTCTTTTGTCCACCTTTTAATGGAATGGTAAGAAGATGTCAGTGCAGTGTGATCATCAGTAAAATGTCAGGAACAGTTATGTCTCCTGATGATGTGAGTCATCTGAGCTTTGGGGAGGTAGAGAGAAGTTCTAAAACCATTGAGTCACGCTTGTCAAACCATCACTATTTCTGATGCAGTATTAAATTGTTAACCAGCACATGGATAACTTTTCTTTCCCACTGACTTTGCAAGTGTAAGCTAATGAACTATCTAAACTGCTACAGTGCTAACTAGTTAGTACTACCCAAAGAGCTTAGGCAGTGGGTTGGTATAGAAATGAAATAAAAATTAAAGAAACAACAATAATATATTGTAGTAGTTGCCGGAAGACCAATGTTTTCCCCTTATGTGGTTTGTCTGCATTAACAAAGGAGCTGAAGAATGTTCTCTGAAATAAAGACACCACATGCAGAAAACTGGCAGACTAAGGTTGTGTATGTATTGGGTTGTGTGTGTGGAGGCAATCCTATAATAATCACAGGTTGGATCTAGTGCTGCATCATAAATGCATGTGTCTAGTTCATGATTTAGTATTGACCAAGGCAGCTTGCATTTACTTCAGTGAGCTGCTTTGGTGCTTATGCAACTAGCTACCAAGACAGTTTTGCTAAATGTGATGCTTCAAAATTTTGCAGGAATGCTTCAAAATTTTGCTGGAGTACTTCTGGCCATGTTGCTATTTCTTTTCAGATAAATTTGAAATTCATACTTAAATTAATTTCCTTGGCAAGAAGGAATGGCTGAGTAGCATCTATAGCATCAGAAGAATCACAACTTTTTTAAAGGTGTCATGCTTCTTAAAATGGCCTGTAATTATGCAAGAGTTTACAGAGTGGAGCTTTACTGTGCTCGCTTGCTCGTGCGCGCGCTCTTTCTCTCTCTCTCTCTCACTCACTCTGTGTGTGTGTGTGTATCCAAACATGCACTAAATGATCACATCTGCTTACCAAATTTCTGAATCTATTCCAACCCAGATATTCTCTGAGGCACTGTCCACAAATTGTGTGAGAGTTGCTTCCTTTAAGAGATTTAAGTATTGCTAGTAGTGTTAAGTTCCTCCCTGATCTCTTCCACTATATTTGCTGTGTTTTCATTGGACCCATTTCCAGTGGAACTGTTTCATTTATCATGGTGTTGTGTTTCTTTTTGTTCCCTTTGAACTTAAATATGGACCCATCCACTCCTAATCTATCCATTTTATTTTGATCAATTCTTCAGAGAGTGGGAGTGAGTGCTAGCATCTGAGATGTTCAGTTTTTCTTTGTTCTCTTTACAGTAAGAGGGGCTAAAGGTTTATTCTTTAAAACAACTTTGGGAGCTATAGTGTAATTATCATACTGCTTTAGCCTTTTTCAGTAATCGGAGCACTCCACATATAATCCTTCTGTAAGCTTTAAAAAATGCTATAAAGGAGTGAGCAAATTGTGGCAATCCAGATGTTCTGGCCTACAAATCCTATCAGTTGTAGCCAACATAGGCAATGGTGAAGGATGATGGGTGTTGTAGGCTAAAAAACAAGGAGGGCCAGAAGTTGCTCACTCCCACTTGGTAAGGTAGATCAGTATTATTTCCTGTACTGCAGATTAGAGTGGGCTAGAGTTGAGAGACATTGTCTTATGGTCAGCTAGTGAGAGCTGGGCTAAAATAGAATCAAACACTTCACAACCCCCACACCTAGCCAGAACACTATCATGTGTACTGCTTTGTTCTTATAAAGTTCAAGAATTTCTAGATTTGATTACCATGTGAGAGAGCATGTGTGAAAAGAGTGACTTGGCCAGAAATCCATGCTGAATGATTAACGGGCTTGATTCTGCTTTACCTATTTTTGTCCTATTAAGAACCCGATAAAGGGCATCCTTCAGCTGTAGCTTTTTCTCTGCAAATAAAGAAAATGCTAATTGTTACCAAGTAAAGGCCTAACTGTACATGATGCCATTAACACTCATGTGTGTGAGCTTTTAGAAAAACTGTGGTGCATGTTTTTCTAGAACTATAGCTTTTTGAAGAAAAAGGAAAATGTTACACTTAGTAGTCTCTACACCCATAAAATCAACCATATCATTTATCTTCATAATACTTGCCTTGAAGAGGAAGTTTAGACCATCCTGTGATGTTTGAATGTAACTGGCACCTCTGTTTGTTTTGGATTGTAATTTCTATGAGGCCCAGCTGGCATGGGCACTGGTCATGGATTGCTTCCAAAAGGTCTGAAGGCACCAAATGTTGTACTTGTGTGTTTAAAAACTTGGGTTTTTTTTAAATAAACAAAGGATGCCCAGATAACTTTTTTTTCTCAAGATGTCATCCCTAGACTGTTCTGAATTCTTTATGCTGGATTTTTTGTTTTGTTCTTTTCAGTCTCCTCCAAGCCAGGAACTTGTGTGAAGGTACTGACAATTGAGCCCCCAGGTAACTCACGGCTGCAGGAAGACCTGGCTCTGCTAGCAGACTGTGCCCTGCCAGCTGAACTCAGGGTAGGAATTTTCTCCCCCTTATTTGTTGAATCCTTGTAGTTGAATCCTTTCCATTTTGTTCATTTTGCTCTGTTTCTTAAACCTTGCAGCTGCAATTTGGTAGCTGTTGATTTTTGCCAGCTCCCATGGAGTGAGGGCATCTAACCTCCAGGGTGCCCGGATAGTCTTCTGTTGTTCTCTGCTTCCTTCCCTTCCTGTAGATAATAAGCTTCAGAACTCATGTCTGCACATTACTGTGAGAAAGACACACTATAATTCTGTGCTTCAAGTCTACTACTGAATGTGCGTGGGAGTGCATGTGAGGGTCGAGGGGAGAGAGGTTCCTGCCAAAAGAAATGAATTGGATGTGTGTCTGCCTTTTTGGAGCTCACTCCCCTTGATAGTTTTCAGTGTGGATAGTGGGTGAGGAAGAGCCTTAAGGCAACCATACACCATACAAATGCATTTCATAGTTTTAAGAGTAATAGAAGGTTCTAACTTCCTTTTTGCCCGAAAACACTTAAACTCTAGTGAAAAGGATTTCTGTCTTTGATTTTCCAGTACTATACTGATCTTACCTTTCCCTTTTCTTTGGCTTTCTGATATTCCCCTACTGCATAATCATCTTGTGCCATCATAAATATCCCCTGACTTACAAAGGCCAGATGCTTGTGATGTTTTTAGTCTGAAGTAGGAGGTGTCTTTCTCATGAGGAATCCAAATGCTGTGGTCTTTCCTGACGAATGAATCCTTTGCTGAAGTTGCTGGCCTGCTATTGCCAAACCTTCTCAATCTGTCTTACTTTCTATGAATATTTCATGAAAGGTAAAGGAAATGTGGTCAAGCACATTCTTGGCATCAATTTTTAGTATTGCCAGCTCAGATAATTTTAGTTTGTGATAGGCCTTAGTTTGTGATAGCAAAAGTAATCTTCATGTTTTTCTGTAAAATTCAAATGTTTCTAGCCTCCAGTGATAGTTGAGAAACCAAAACATAAGGATATGCATTTGTTGTATGCATTTAGAACTTCTAGTGTTAGGAATGTGAATTTGGATTAGACAGTCAATACCCTCACCCTTTGTTCTTTTGAAATAAAAGGTTAGGTATAATATTCCCTGCAAGAAGATTATAGTTATAGTATAGTCCAGGTTATCATGTTTCTGTGAGAACAGTCATTAATATGCGTATATGGGTGTTGTGTTCTTGTGTTTACATTTCAGTGTTCAAAAGTGAACAGGTACAGAACACAAACTGTTTGCCCTACAACCTCTGAACAAATAATGAAAATGATAGAGTGTTCTGATGGCTGCTACGTTTAGCACATTTTTTGGGCTATATGCAGTCTTCCTATCTATTCCATTACCATTTTAAACACACACACACACACACACACACACACACACACACAGCATTCCCATAGTTCTCTGAATTTTAATGTTATCCTAACTCTCATAGTTACATTTAATTCAATTTAATTATTTAATTTAATTTAATTTAATTTAAAACAACTATATGCTGCCTATCTTGCCATAGCATCCTTAGGCAGCTAACAATCAGAGGTCAACAGTGGTAAAATAACATGGTAGTAAAATTCAGTTCTAAAATCCCCAGACCAACACATATATACACCTTATTTCTACTGACCCAAAATGTTTAAATCCTATGTCTGTTTTGTCGGAAAGAAGTCCTACAAGCCCATCATGCTCCAGGAAGCCATTGCTGTCTGGGGGATGCTGGGAGCTATTTTTTTCCTATTGAAACATACATAGGATTGTGCTCACCTTTTTTAATACAGTGAAACAACAGAAATTTATTTATTTAATTTCAGTACTGCCCAGTAGCCTTGAAATTACCTCTCCTTACCGTTAGCTGATAATCCAACCTTTCCATCATCAAGCAGTATCTATTCAATATAATTCAGTTGTACACATGGATTAAGTCATAGATTAAGAGCAAACAAATGTTCACGAGATGGGGTGGGTGGACTAGGGAGAAAACAGATCTTTGGTTTTCCAAACAAAGGACTGGATGTAGAATCTAGCATCTGCATTTCTCCTGATATTGGAAGATTCCGTCTTCCTCCACCGCAGTGCTTTCCCCATTCAGTCAGATAGCCTGGCACTTTGTATAGCACTATCAGGGAGCTGGAAGGACTGTCATGAAGAGAAGGAGGCAGGGAAGTCTACTTCCACCAGTGCAGTTGTATCCGGCTTAAATCTAGGAAGTCTCATGGGTTTTCTTAGCAGGAGAGCTGCTTCTTCAGGAAAATAGCATTTAGAACAGAAACTGAGTACTATCAATCGTAAGATGTTGCTGCTGTTTCCCATTCTTTCTTAATCTGGTCATTGTGATAGGATATCCCTTAGATGGGGTGCTGTCCCACCCATTTCTGTGAAGCACTGTATTAGCACTTCTGGTGTCATACAGGGAAATGGTAAATGTGAGATTTAATGTTAGAAATTTGTTGAGGTGTTCTGAAAGGGTGAGGAGATGATGCTCACCATTTATCCAGCCAACATTGCCCTGTGTAGTCTTTCTTGATTCCTAGCACTTGCAGAGTATAAGAGGCAAGACATTGGAAACAAGGTTGAAACTCCCTGAGAAATGGGAGTGGAAAGAAAGAACGTTTTACATGCATAATCTTCTTTCCATCTTTTAAAAAGTTCTTGTACCTGAAGTTACGGAGGCTTAGGATATGTTTTCATATATTTGTACAAAAATCAGTGGATATGTATATGTATGGAATGTGGACAAGCATGCCTCCTTTTGACTCTGGCCCTTCCTACATTACATTTATGGCCCACTTTTGTTCTTCAAGGGATCTGAGGCAGTATACAGCTGGCTTGGAGTTTACCTACAGACCTGGAAACTCACCAATAAATAGATTTGGCATTTTGAAAGAGTTCCTATGTTATGTCATTTGTGCTTTCTGCCTGTTATTGTCTTACGATGTAATACAGTTCTGAATCAAGATGCAGGTGCTTCAAAATCTCTAGAAGTAGTTCTGCAGTGAATAATTTTATTTATACAATGCAGCTGCTAACATGTATGATGTGTTAACAAAAAGATGTTGACTGATTCTGATTCACTGACTGATTCTGATTCATCATGGTATTCAAGATTCAAGACTCTTTGTTATAAAATCCGTATGCTGGACCATATTCTCAAGCACCCTGTGCCTTTTTCACTAGGAGACTCTCAATGTAGCTTTGCTTGTATAGCTGTCTTTGTTTATAGACAACTATAAAGCAGTGGCAGCTTTCTCTTAATTCCAAAGCTGAAACTCCCGAGAACTGTTTCTTATTTTTTCTCTTAACTTGGAACAAGTTTGTGGCCATCTTGTCCTGGGATGATAAATCAGCTACTATTTGCAGACCCAAGGGACATTTTTAGTTGCCTAGGTTAGAAGAAAAGATGTATTCCACACAGTAGCATTGCTGGTGACTGAAGTATATTTGCTGCAGGATGTATCATAATTAGGAGAAATGTTTGGGAAACCTTTGCTAGTTCTTGTTTCCCCCTCTGGTATGAAATCCTGGGAGATGTTATATGGCACTCTCATGTCCAGGATACTCTTTGAAAAAATATTCAGCTGAGGACAGACTAAGCATGGGCGGGGGGTCCTGTCCCACAGTAAATAATTACAGGCATCATTGTTTACCTGTTCAGATATTAAGGGAAGCTATATGAGAGCCAATGTGGTGCAGTGGTTAAGAGCATGGGATTGGGACTCAGAGGATCTGGGTTCTAGTCCCCGCTCAGCCATGGAGCCAACTGGGTGACTTTGGGCCAGTCACACACTCTCAGCCCAACCTACCTCACAGGGTTGTTGTTGTGGGGATAAGATGGAGGAGGAGAATGATGTAAGCTGCCTTGAGCCCTTTGTAGGAAAAAGGCAGGATATAAATCGCAATATAAATAAAATGATGAATTAAAAACATATTGACTTAATCACTGAGTGCTAAGGAGGTAAAGGGTGGCATGAGGATGGAGCACAAAAGGCTTGTGCATAGCCTCTGTTTTACAGAGTTTTGTTAACTCTGATTATTGTTGACTTTCTGAAAGTTGCCAGGCTTTCAATGTGTAAAAACTTAAGAGTCAAGGCTGGATCAGAACAAGAGTCCATCTGGTTTTCATGCAGTTTGTGGAAGTTATGTCAGGATTTATCACTTTAATATAGAGGAACCTACCTTAACTGTGCAATAGTTATTTATTTAAAACTTGTCAGTTTTATATGGATTCTAATGGAGAAGAAGTAATAACAGAATCTTTTTGTGTGTGCTTGCATAGGTAGGTTTTGGAGAGTTACCATTTGACAGCACTGACAGCTTCAGCAGCTGTCCTGACGTATGTTTCCGGGTGGCAGACTACAATTTCTTGTGTCACAAGGTAGGTGCTTATGTTGACTTACTCTGCCAGTGTGACCTTTTTATCTACACCTCCCAATACGAGAGTTCAAGATTATGTTTGGTGCATGTGCATGTGTGAATGATGCTCCCATTATTTTCTTTAATTTATCTGTGAGCATCTTACCCTGCTTTTCTACTCCAAGAAGAACTCACCACGAAACTCACAATATTTTTAAAAAATCCAGGCAATCAAACAAGGACTTGTCGGTATTCTACTGCAGGCTTTTTAGCTCAGCTTGGGGAGAAAAACACACTGACAACAATTAATTACTGTAATTCACAAACAAGTGTCATATACACTTACATAGCACAATCCTATGCATATCTATTCAAAAGTATTCACTAAGTTCCAGGGGACTTCGTCTCTAATAAATGCACTTGGCATAGTACAGCAAAACCTTAGCTTGTGTGCCTTTATTAGAAGAGGCACTTACAGCCTCTTCCTGACTCAGCTGGCTCTCAACAGAATTGGCTCTCAGCTGTTTAACTGGGACTAGCAGTTTGTATGTGTGTGTGGCTGAAAAAAAAAAAGGAAAATCTGTACTGTGATTCAATGCAAGAGTGTTGTATTTTCAGATTTGTGTTTCCAAATCTTGAAAACCCTGTACAGGCTTGGACAGAAATACTACACATTAGGTGCTCTGAGGCTGTACTTCAGCACAGCTGTTTGCTTGCTTGCTGTAGCCAGCAATATTCCACTGTGTCAGGCCTGTACATTCTCTGCTTGCAGGCATTTTTCTGTGGCCGCAGTGACTATTTCAAAGCTCTCCTGGAGGATCATTTCTCTGAAAGTGAGGAGCTGCAGAGCCAGCCCAGCATCCCTGTGGTGACCCTTCATGACATTTCAGAGGAGATCTTCATCAGGGTCCTCTATTATATCTACAGTGATGACACAGAGGTGAGACTGGTTTGAGTGTGGTTGATTTTAGAATGTTCATCCTAGCAAGAAGCGCTATGATCCTGGGAGAAATCAGAAGGGGCAAAATTAGCATTGTGCAGTGTTGGTGCCACAGCAAAAAAGTTAATAGCAGTAGACAGGTACTATTAAGTTCAATGAATGTAGCCTGGAACCTTGTAGTATATCATTTATGGGCAGAAATACCTGTCTTTCTCTGCCCAGACCTTGAAGTTCCCAGTGTAGTAATACATCACTGAAATGAGCCATTATTTGTAGCAGTTCCTTGTTGGGTTATTCAACGGTTTCTCTATTTTTCTCACCTAATCTAGTGAGTCTTCAGTCTCCTTTCTAAGTAGCCAGTGATGTATTTATAGGCAGGACCAATTTCGTAAGATTTAGACTGCAAAAGGCAGGGCAATTCTGTTCATGACCGGTATTCCACAAGGCATCAGGCTGCGCTGAATTTAATTATATCTGTTTCTTGCTCTCATTGTATTTGAGGCTAGAAATGATTTATATTTTACAGTACCACAGTGTAGCCATCCATGAATATTAGCAGTTAGCTCTTTCTGGTCAAAAAGTCAACACGCCTCTCCTACTGACCGGATTCATGCCCATGTGGTTTCTTTCTCTGGTGCCATGGGGGATACTCATCCAAGGACAGTGCTGCAAGGCCAAGTATCACCATGCTACCACTAGAGTGTAGTGCTGAGACATGATTGAGAAGCAAGCTAGTGATTCTGCTGTTTGTATTGCATTCTCTTGTTACCTTCAGGAAAAAGTGGTGGCTGCACTTTTCCCCTAAACATTTTAATTGGGACTGAACGCTGCAGTATGAACACTGCATTGTCATACAGTGGTTCTAGCATGTTTAGTCATAATATACCTAAGGAGTAATTGAGCATTTGTTTTGAATAGTGGAAGCTTTGCATAATACGAACTCTGAAAATATATAGTTGTCGGGACATTATAGGGTCATTATAGGATGTTATTTCATCACTGTAAAATTTGTTATTGGGTAGCAGATCCATTTCTTTGGAAGCCTTCCTGATCTAAACACCCACACTTTTATTGGGATGGTTTTAGCAATATGATTTCACCACTCTAAAATCTCCATAGTGGGATATGGAGTTATAGATACATATGGCAAATAATTAAGTGTTATAACCATCAGAATGTTGGTTAGATGGTGTTTGATCTGAAGCAGCTTCTTATGCTCTTATTGACATCAGCAGTTCACTATAGCACTTGAAAAGCGAGGAGTGGTGATTCTGTAGACAAAGAATCAGTAAAGGCTTTTGAGATGAAGTCATCAGTAAAATAAAATGGCTTGTCAAACCTCTTGTTAGTATCTTGAGAAGTAAACATCCATTAACAATTTTGGCTGCATTCTTGCATCAGCCGCAGTGGTGACAGGTGGAGTGGGAGGTGGAAATCTCATCCTCAAGAAAATTGTACTCCTGTCATGCAGTGAGCAAACCTTATCCCACTCCACTGAGCTCAGAGAAGCCACACTCTGGAAAGCAAGAACACCCTCAGAGCTGCAGAATAGCTGCAGCTTTCTATTTCAAGTGGACTTTGAGTATTGGCTATTTCTCCTCAACACATCAATACTTGCCTTGTTTTGTGAATGATCCTTACAGTAACCATATTCACACACATGTTGCACATAAGTAAAGTGAAAGCAATTTTTTCACCAGCAGACTCAGCTAGTTCTTCTCTAACTCTCATCCCTGAGGCTACTACATCTGGAAGGGATTTCGCTCTGTAGGGATTTGCGATACTGTTCTGTAAAGGAGAGATTGTTGTGGGAGTACCGTTTGCTCCACGGAATACTCTCCAAGGCCATGCATATTCCTGTCTCCTTTGATCTGCCTTCCTGCAGGGCAAGATTGAGGCTGCCAACCAAGCCTTCTATCCTTGTCTTCCTTTAGTTAGTTAAGGAAGGCTTGAAATAATTCTTTTGAATTTGACTCTCCTACATTCTTTCCTTTTAAACCTAGGAAGGCATCTTGTAGTATGTCTCCCCCACCCCCTACTACTCACTCTTGGGTAGTGTATATACAAACTACTGTGGGAATTGCTTGCACTTGAGATACTGGCTGTATTCAATTCTGTGCTTAACCTGGGAGTGGGATCTGTTCTGCTTTCATGTTTGTGTGTATTATTTGCAGTCATGTCCAGGCTGTAACACCTTGTTTGTGGGACTGCCCTTGACAAGCACACAGAAACCAAATGATATCAGCCGGTGATCAGTGTACTCCTTGGAAGGAATTTGAGGGCAGAGGGAGGCATGTAAGGAAGACATCAGGGCCTGCTGAAGCTGGTTTCTTCCCCCTCCCACTGTCCACAGCTGTCATCTGTCCATTTAGAAGGATCCTGATTACTTTGTTTATCTTAATATTCTCAATTTGTTACTAATTCATTCTGAGCCGCATAAAGTGTTCAAACCACCAAAGGCGTTTTCCACTGACCATTCAGACTTGTAATAGAAAACTAGTTCTTTCCATCTGGGGGCTGACCCAGCAGGCCTGATGTTTTTGATGATTTATGTTGTTTTTACTTTTTCTTTGTTTTTAGGATTATAATTTCAAATAAAACTTACTACAAAAAAAGAAAAAGAAAACTAGTTCTTTCTCAGTCGAAACATTTGTACTAGGTTAAAAGCTGTTTTAACTATTGGTAAATTTACCTTGATAAATGTTGGAACACCAGGTCTCCTGGGCCACCTCATCAACTAAACTGCTCCAAAGCAGCTTCCAGGATCCAGTTACACAGTTAGCACAGGGCACCTTCACAGAGTTAGCCACTACTCCCGCTTAATCCCTTGAAGGCACACACAGAAGGCGGACCTGAGTTCACATTCTTAACACAGTTCACGAATCTCAACACCGTAGACTGTTGACTGTTTTGCTTTCACACTAGTGTTATTACTGCATTGCATTTTTATCCCACCTTTTTTTCCTTGCCAAGGAACCCAAGGTGGCTTATGTAGTTCCATTTTGTCTTCACAGTAAGAATGCTGTGTGGTAGATTGGGCTGAGTGTCTGTGACTTGCCCAAAGTCACCCAGCAAGCTGCACGGCTGAGTGGGGACTAGAACTCTGGTCTGCATTCCAACACTCTAACCACTATCACACAGACTTTGATTTTTCATTGCCTCTTTGAACTACCTGTTTATAATTTTGATCCCTTACCAAGACGTTTTTATTTTATTCAATGTATTTGAAAGGATAGTAAAAGGTGTTTGTGGTCCATAAGATTGAGGTCAGTATAGTGACTATGTGCCTCCACCACCCCAGACTTTAAAACAGATATTACTGAGGTCAGAGTTGTATGACTCAAAATGCATCTCCAAGCAACATTCAGTGTGAGAAGAAAATGAAAATGCCTGTAAGGCACAGTGTATAAAATGGGCTGCGGGGAATGTTTGGTATGATCTGTGGGAGGAACAGGAAGACCAGTCTTATTTTGAATAAAAGAACATCTAGCAGATTATGCCACGAGCTGCATTCAGGAGAAGAACATGTGGATAAAATAATTAAAGTCAAGACATCTGTTTTGGCAAAGGAATCAAATTTACCCAAGAGGAAATTCAAGCATTTTGTTACAAGTCTTTCTTCATTACTAGAAGTTGTAGAAAAGCAGTTTTTGGTATGAGGATCTCTTTGGAGGGACTGAAGAGTTCAGGTGGAGCTGCCAGATACCTTTGGGAACTCAGTAAAGGCTTGCAGAGGGAGTTGCCATCCTAGTACAGAGCCTTCACTTTCGGTAAGCAAAGCCAACAGCTCTGAAGCAGGAAATAAACCAGAGCATTGCTGCTTTTAGTTCCAAACAGCAGCAAAGCTCCTGGCAAAGGGTCTATCATGTTAATGACACATGGTCCCAATTAAAGTGAAGATTCAAGGATTTGAACTGACAAGGGAAAGAGCAGAGGCAAGGTCAAATTAATCTTGGTGTTATGTTCTGGAATTTCCCTGTGCTTGTATGGGTGGCTTATAGGGATACAGAGGAGGAAATGTCAAAGCCAAGGAACTCAAGCAGAGCAAAGAACTAGCAGTAAGCCAGATTTCCTGGGGCTGAATCTGCTGGAAGAGGGTGATTACTGTACATGGCATGAGAATCAGTCAGCTGTTGTAAGAGTCTTGTTAATGAAGAATGGAGGAGTTCTGTCTACTGAACATGCAATGCTAACATATCTGCATTTGATCAGTAGACAAAATAAACAGTGATCCAGTTTGGAGAATGGACTTTGAACCATGCTATGGCTTCTGGAATGGTCTCATTAGAATCCTTCACATCAAAAGATGTTGGTATGTGCCATCTGTTCAGCTTGTTCCGCTTGGGGTAGGTCATGGATTCTTGCTGTATATCCGTCTCACAGCTCCTCAGCAAAAGCTCTCTGGAAGGCACATCCCACCCTAATGCATGCATCAGCATTATGAGAATCATTGCATATATTATCCCCTGTATAAAGCTGCATCCTTCTACTTAAGGAAGGGCCAGAGTTCAACCCAGCAACACGTTTCCAGTGCTAAAGTTCAGTCCAAGAAAACAAGGAGAAATAAAAGCATGTGCCATTTCCTTACCTCTGAATATCTTCAAACAGCCAGAGAGGTAGGAGTATTTGCAATGAACAGTTAAAGGGCAAAGGAAGGATTAAGCACTCAGCCTCTTCCTGCTGATTCTTCCCTGCAAATGCTCCTTCATTAGCATTATGAGGCACACTGGGATGGAAAACCTACATTCCTCTCATACTGTGTACTTCTGTCCTTTATGACCTTAAAGGCTAGTTTCTGTGTTCTGATTTTGCACTCACCGTTTGGGTCAGACCTGATGTCAGTGGATGGCACAGGAAACTTCGCTTGACTGCTTGATGTGAATTGAAGGAGGCATAGATGCAGTTAAGACATTCAGGTCGGGTATGGAGCAGTGATCAATTTGGCCATACAAAAGGGATTTGAAATTGTATCTTGGACTAGTGCTGGACAGCAAATCTAGTACTGTCAGATGAAGACAGAAGCCCAAACACACTGCTGAAGATAGCTAGATTTTTAAATAACAAGGGTGCAGAGATACTACTGAGTGAAACACTGAACTGCTAAAATCACACTACAAAAAGAGAGTGGATGATAGCAGTTCAGTCACTAAAGAGTAGCATGTCAGATATGGTAGCAAAATGGAGAGATAATGCAGGGGCAGCTGGTGAAACATTAGATCTGAGCATCAAGAACCAGTGAAAAGTAGAAGAATCTTCCCAAAACCATTACAGGATGCAAATGCAACCAGACGTTCTCAAAGCCTCCAGTTGCTTGATTCCCCAGAATCTGCAGGTGGGCGCGCCATGATTCATTGATGAGTTTGCTGGTTTCACAACATTTTTGGATCACAACCACAAACTTTGAGCACAACCATGAGCCAGGTTGCAGAAACAATTTCTTATTGCTACCAATATCAACAGTAATGGGGACCAATTGTCAAACAATAGAGGGAGGTAGAGTGATGAAGCAAGGCTGCCCTCGCTCCCTGCTGCTGTTGGCAGTCTCGGTTGAGCAGCAGCCCTAACATTCAGGGCATGATGCTCAGTACAGTGTGCTGCAGGACTGCTTGGAGCCGACATAGCCCTACTGTTATCCACCCCCAGAAGTGCTGTCCCCAAGAATATGTTGGGGTTATATAATTGAGGCTTTGTAGTAGGCTTGCAAATTGGCTTTTGAAGTCAGAAGTGCTGTTGCAAGATGTTAAACCAGAAGCCCAAGAAACCATTAAATCCCGAATTCATTAAATGCCTTTGCTTGCAAATTCCCTCAAACCTCACCTATTTGGAGGGAAAATAATTAAACTGCAGTCCACTGTTGTGCCAAGTAAGGCAAGATCTTAAGCAATATTAGATAGTAAACTCTCTTGGCTAGGCTGTATTGCAGCAGTTAAAATGTCCATTGTAGCAAAAAGTGTTGTTCCATTCCATACGTTAATAGTTGCTTGATTTCTGTATGGAGGGGAGCAATCTGGGCTCAGTTACAAGCTTATGTACGATGGAGCATGCCATGCCAAACATCAAAGATAGCTTTCAGCTCTGGCAGCTTCTTTCTCTTAAAAAGAATAAGAAGCCAAGGGTGAATGTAGAACTCCTACAGGGTCATCTTATGTCTCCCAGTTACCCTAAAGGGCCTCAAAAATTCAGCTTACAGCAGGGCTCGCCTGCGTCTGGGGTTTTTGGACCATTTTGGAATTCTGAGAGACTGGGCAGGTTTGTACGACCCCCCTGCACATGCTAGTCATACTCTGTGGAATTGCCATAATTACCCTTACCAGGCATGGGTTGTTGTGTCATCTGAACTTGGTGGGGGAAGGGAAGGGCAATGCACAAACTACCCTGTAACCATAGAACAGGCTGTGGGTTCTGGGGTGACTTGTAGACCTGCCTTTCTCCCACCCTTGCCTGGTTCAGATGGCATGACATGTAATGCCCAATGAAGGGTATTGTAGTACTTCCACGGTGCATGATTCATGCTCACGGGTCAAGAAAATAAGCTGCCATGGCTTGTTTTCTTTCCCAGATTGTGCAGTCTGGTCATTGTCATGCCTGCCCATACCCAGAGATCCTCTTAAGTGCATACATGGGGAGGGACCAGAGAGAGGGGTGGGAGCCTTGTACACCAGAGAGCGTGGAAACACATGCATATAGAGGGGAGGGAAAAAGCAGACCCAGAAAGGAGGGTAAATTAGATGTAGGGATCGGGGTGGGGGGGCACAAAGACACTAGGGTGGGAAGCCACAGGCACAGAGATCCACAGGGGGCAGAAATGAAAAATGAAAGGACACCGTCCTCCCCATCCCTCTGTATTCTGCTTTCTGCTTGCCTTTTAAAACATTTTTGTAGGGCACTTTCCTTCTGAATTGCTGCGCTTTCTGCTTGGCTGCCCACCTCAACCAGCAGAAGTGCACTGAGTTGAGAGAGAAAGTGAGAAAAGAACACACACTCTCACTTCTTCTCTCACCTCTTAGCATACTTTTTGAGGCTCAGTTACTGCCTTCTGGCTTCTGAAGTGCAGCAGAAGGTAGTCAAGCGAGGAGAACACAGATGCTTCATGGGCTCCTGGAGAGGTCTTCATGGGTACTTCTCAGCTTGTAAGTGCTATGTTGAGGACAGCACTTTTAGAGCATCCCTGACAACTTGGGAGATTTGATATAGAAAGCTCCAGTGGAAAGAGCCATCAGGATCATATCAATTATTGCTAGATGCTAACATCTAAGTCCAGTAGAAAACTATAGTTTTTACTTGTCATAAAAAATTCTGAATGCTTTGGTGCAATTAACTACACTTTACTTGATGAATGACAAACTATGCATGTGGTGGGACAGGGAGAAATGAATAAGGTCCTTGAAATCCCAGGCTGCTAGAGGTGAGATTTGCTGTTTAAGATCAAATGGGATCTTTTATGTGGGCAGTGGGCCCTGTGGCAGTGTATCATGCTGTAGCCTACAATAGAGAAATCTGCAACTAAGACTCAGAATTGTTCTGTGAGAACTTGGCATTTCCAGGGTGTGGGGCCTCTGCTTCTTCCTGTAAGTGGGGTCTCCACTTCTTCCTGTAAAAGAACACCAGCACACCACCTTGCTTAATTTCTCCATATTAGGCAAAATGAAACTATCCAGTCTGTACACTGGACTTAACTGAAGAGAAAGGCGCTATAATATATGAACATTTTACCTAAGGTGAACAATTTCAAGCTATCAGTCAGTCAGAATGCACCGTCTTGGCCTGATTACTCATTTGATCAAATCATGAGCAGACTGTAGAATTGAATTTTGTTCCCTCCTAAAACCCCCTCCTAGAGCTGTTTTGGTAGCTCCTCCTTCAATAGCTCCAGAGTTGTTCTGATAGCCTTCATGATACTGTTTGTTTAGATATGCTCTTCAGACTCTGGGGCCTTCCGGAAACACGTATTTAATCTAAGATCATCTGGGACTGGGACTGAACACAAGTGAATTCCTTTCAACCAGTGGTGCTTCAGAGGCAATGGGTTGCACCAGTGTGTATTGAATCATGCCATAACAAAGCAGGTGCATGACTGTGCAACCAACAAGGGCCAGATTGTCTTACATACTAAACTTTTGTGCCACAGTAAAATGCATTGCATCTTTATGATGTTGTGCACTTGTCCATCAAGTGGTAATGTCAACTGAATCAATTTCCATCCAGCTGTAACACAACAAAGTGTGGAAAAGTCAGAGGAGGCGAGTGCTTTTGCACGACTCTGTATCTGTCGGGAGAAGTAGTCACTGATGGCCTTGTCCTCCATGTATTTGTCCAGTCCCCTTTAAGCCCATCCAAATGGTGGCCATTGCTGCATCTCGTGCAACTGAATTCCATAGTTTATTTGTGTTCTCTCTTATCTCCCATCAGTTGGCTTCATGGGGTGACCCTGGATTCTTGTATTGTGAGATGGGAAAATGTCTCTTTATCATCTTTCTCCGTACCATGCATACCTTTGTACACTTCTATACTGTTTCCCCTTACTTACCCCTTTCCCAAGCTAAATAATGTCAGCTCTTGAAACCTTTCCTCACAGGGGAGTTGCTCCACCCCTTGATCAGTTTAGTTGCCCTTTTCTGCACCTTTCCAACTGTAAAATCCTTTTTAGGTGCAGTGACCTGAAGTAGACACAGCATACAAAGTGTGGTCACATCATAGATAAGAATAAGAATAGTATAATAATAGCAGCTGTATTTTCAGTTCCTTTCCTAATTATGCCTAACACAGAGCAACCACACACTGGATTGACAGTTTCATCAAGCTGTGCAAGATCTCATCCTTGTTCAGTCGATGCTAGCTCAGATCCTATGATTTTATACATAAAATAGGGAATTTTTTCCTCTGCACCATTGTTTTCTTACATTGATCTGTATTTTCCCTTTGGGTGCCCATTCTCCCAGTTTGGAAAGATCCTTTTGGAGCTCCTCACAATCCCTTTTCCCCCCACTGCTTACTCCTAATTCCAGATCATTTATGAATTTGTTGAAAAGCATTGGTCCCAGAACAGATCCCTGTGAAACCCCACAGTTCACATCCCTCTGTTGGCAGAATTTGCCATTTTTCCTACTCTCTGCTTTCTGTTCTTTAGCCAACTGACCTCCCCTCTTTTTGCATGGCTACTAAGTTTGTTCAGGGGTGTTTGGAGTGGCCCAAGTCTTTTGGAAATCTAAGCAAACCATAGCTATCATATCACTCTTTTCCACCTGTGTATTGGCACTTGCAAAGCCCTGTTGTAATACCAGAGAACTGACGATCCTTTTAGTGATGTCGTTTGTGTATTGTTGGGACATTTCATTGTATCCGTGCTTGGTGACCGATCTGCAAATAGAGGTGTATCCAAACCTGTTTACTGATATGTTTTTTTCCTCCATTTTTTCCTTGCTATACATTTGAGCAGACAAAACTAAAGTCTGTTTGTTTGATGTAGCTTGTATGTGTGCAGATCTGTGTAGAAATCTAGATATTTCTGATAGTTCTGAGCCTCCAATGGATTAATATAATTTGCGTTATTTAAGATGGTTTTGCAGTCATATGTGGTTTGGTGTTCAGGCAGGATGCTGGTTTTGGTTGATGCCCGTTTTGCCTTGGCAGCTTTCTCCTGAGAATGCCTATGAGGTGTTGTGTGTCGCAGACATATACCTGTTACCTGGGCTCAAGCGTCTGTGTGGGAGAACTTTGGCCCAGGTTCTTGATGAAGATAGTGTGGTCAGCATCTGGAAGATTGCAAAGCTGTTCCAGCTGACTCGGCTGGAGGACCAGTGCACAGAATACATGGCAAAGATCATTGAGAAGGTAAGGGGGGAAACCTTATGGTTGCCTGTTTCAGCTTCAAATAGCTGATGGTTGTCCATTTATTAAAAGCCTTTAAACCTGCCCACATTTTCAAAAACTGAGCATTATGATCACAGTGAAGAGCATGCATGCCAAATAGAGATGGATGTTGAGTGAGATGAAGAGCTCCTTCCCATGTTGCAAGGACAGACAATAAAAACATTCCCTAATTCTCTTCCTTCCTCCTTTGTTGGCACTGTTGTGCACAACTAACTCTGAAGCATGTAATGGAGTGGTGCAGGTCAGCAAGCTCCATTTGAGCTAGCTTTACACATCACTGTGGAAGTTTCTGTTTATATTGTATTTGTGTTGTACCCTTTTCCTGTTGTGCTGAATCCAAGGCGGCTGACATGGTGTTTATCCTCTTTGCTTGATCCTCACCCAAACCTTATGAGGCCAGTGAATTTCATTGCCCAAGTGGGGACTAGAACATGGATCTCCTGAGCTCTAGTCCAGCACTCTAGCCACTGTGCCACACTGGCTCTCAGAGGCAACTGTATTTCTGGGAGGGATTATCTCTGCAGTAGAGCAGCTGCCTTGTTTGCAGAAGGGCCCAGGTTCAATCCCTGGTTAGGTAGCAGGTAAGGGGAAAACTCTGTCTAGACCCTGAAGTGCTGTTACCAGTACAAGTATCCAATGCTGAGCTTAGTGGACAAAGAGTTTGCTGTATGGTAATTGAGCATTAAACCTGTATTTGCTGGCAGCTGCACTACCCCAGTTGGCAGAGCCTAGTGGTAACTAGTGTGTGGGAGGAAGTCCTTGTTTTAAATCTGGTTTTGGCCATGAAGTCACAAGTTGACCCTCTACAAGCCACAGGCTTTTTTGGCCTAAACCCCTCCTGCCAGTCTGTAACATGGGAATGAACATCACTCTAATTTACAAGACCGGAATGTATAAAGTATGTTGGCACTTCAGATATGTGATACGTAAATAAAGCATGGCAAAAAACGAGTGTTTTTATGATTTCTCAAGTAATGGGTCTCTGAGAATCCGAGACATCCAGAGTTCATCTGATTGCTTGGTTAATTTGGCTGGCAAGATGCAGGGACTTCCAGATGCATGGAAGTGTTTGGTGCTGCAAGTCGTGCAGAAGTGTGCTGGCACAGCGTACGTTGTGGGAGGAAAGTGCCTCCTGCACGACCATCGTCTGTGGTTTATAGCACCGGATTCATTCTGCTACTGCGTTGTCATGAGGTGAATACATGGCAAGAGCCCATGAGGGAACTTTGGCCTAACTGTCCATCTAAAGCCTAACCTTCCCATGCCAAATTTTGGTGGCGGGGACCATTTCCTCATGAAGTAGAAGATGTTTTCCTAGCCCTGCAGAATTACTGCACAAGAGCACGTACATCCTGCTGCCTTAACTCTGAGCTATTTTATGCTGCATCCCTTAGAGATCCTTATGAAGGAGAGGAATTTAAATCATCCTGGCTAAACTGGTGTCGAAATTAAATTCCAAATTGTGTTCTAAACAGCGAATAGTAAAATTGGCTGTTCATAGCAACCCTTGTCCCAAGGTACATGCAAAGTGGACTCGCTTCTTTCCATTTCATTTTACACTTGACCAGTTGTACACATGTGGCAGGCACAGTCTTGCTTCTGTTAAGTGTTTTGGAACCAAGTCAGTTCACTGGTTTCTTTATAAATGGCTCTAATTAAAACTCCCACATGAGTTGCAACATTCTTTACTTAACAGACACTGAGAGAGGTGTGAAATTCTTTCCTGCCTGTGAAAACACTCTGAACAAAATAATTTAACAGTTCCTCTTACACAAAAGTTCTGCTTTTTTCAGTAGGAACAAGCAGAGCTTCGTTGTCTTGTCATAGACCTGAAACTGGTTCTCACTGTTGATCCCTCTGATCTGATGACCAAACCAAAATGAAAGCTTGCTCCTAAAGTTCACCACCGTTCATTGTGGGAGGTTCTTTTTTTGTTACATCTTAGTTTTGGTTGGTGCAGACGGAGCCACCAGCAGTAACTGTTTAAGGAATTGGTACCACAATCTTGGAACATGGGATAGAAGCATGGGTTGATTTCTTCATCTGATGGCTGACATGTGTCTCCACCCTCCCTGCAGAAAGGTCATAGAGACCTGTTCCTGTGCCACAGGAATATTATGGAAACCTCCAGAAGAGGAATGGACGATGGCGTGTATCAAAAGGGGAAGATTTGGTTGTAAACTGCCCAGGTTGCTTGGGCTCTGGAGCAGCATAGAAATGAAATAAATAATAGAGTTGTTGACACACCACTTTTTGCATTACTTTGTGCTGAGTAAAGTTTGCTACTTTATTTGTGAAATACTCCACTAAATGATGGGTTGAAGGGGATGCTTTAACCAGAACAGCATCAATAATGGAGCAAGGTTCACAAGAGGAAGGCCTTTTCATGACATACAAAGAATGCTTCAAAGAGTTAATACCCCCATTTCATTAGCAAAGTTGCTCTAAACAAAAGCTTGCATTCTAAAGATGTCCTTTTCTTTCTTGCCTGAAATTAAATTAGATTGTCTTATGGAAAAACTGGCCTTTGGTGAAGGGTGTTTGCTCTTTTTCCCCATTCTGCAATTTAATATTTTATTTTGAATGTGCACTTTTGGGGCACTGTTTGTGTCAGTATGGTGCAGAATTATCCACTCTGAATCATAATTATTTCTCAGCTAATAGTACTGCTGTTTAAAATATAGATGAAAACTCTGTGCTGGGGATTCTCTCTGTTTCATCAGCCTGCTTGTTCCTTTACCTCTTGCCTCTCTAGCTGGTGGAGCTTGAGGAGTTTGCAGTGGCAGTGAAGGAGAATGCCGAGGCAGTGGAAGAACGGCAGGAGACAGACTCCATCCCTCTTGTTGATGACATCCGTTTCCACATAACCAGCAACGTGCAAACATACAGTGCTATTGAAGAAGCTAACCAAAAACTGGAAGCTCTGGATAATCTTCTGGGCAGTATAGGACTTGAATGCTAATCTGGAAAATCTCCTTTGTGACTGTATGGCGGATCAGCTCAAAGTTCAGTTACCGATGCTATTCTCATCTTTTCTTCCCTCCTTGCCCCTGAATGTTATAGCTCCATTCACTTTTTGTGCATACTATCAGTTTCTAATGTCTTTAGTATCTTGACTGATATTTTTTTCCTTTCCCAAGAATTATGTCTCAAAAGCAGTTCACATTTTGGAAAGAAAACAGTTTGTATTGATAGCACAAGTCCAATTTAAGGAAAGTATGATTTGGCACATTGTGATATCACCAGATGTCACAGACCAACAGTGTCTACTGAAAATTGGTGTAACCTGCAGAGGATTGGCACAACAGGTTCCTGCTAGAAGACCAAAGCAGATGAAATTCAAGACCGTGGCCAGTTAAGATTAAACCAGGTTGTCTTCCATGGCCCATATTTTACAGGAGAAATTAGATGCTTTTACAAAGCTGTAGGTGTGTTGTATTCATGCAGTGCCATGATAACTACATTTACATGATAACTACATGATAACTAACCCTAACCCATAACTACCCTTGCAGAAAAGGCTGCGTCTATTCATACTGCAACCTCATTTACATGAGATTTACATCAGCCTTCCCCAACCTTGTGCCTTCCAGACATGTTTGGATTTTTACACCCACAGTTCCCAGCCAATGGTCCTTCTGGATAGGAATTCTGGAAGTTGCAGTCCAAATGCCTCTGAAAGCCCCCAGGTTGAGGAAGACTGATTTACAGTGTAAGCAGAAGAAAAAACTCAGGTTTCTGTTTTGATCTTCCAGAAGCTCATGTTAATTTGCAAGTTTGGTTTTCTTATTCCCCATTTTCATTACACTCTATAGTGTGGCATTCTACCAAATTGCATGGCTTGGCATTTGTCTTGAGTGCAAAAGCACATGGCTGCCTACTGCATTGAAACTGCTGCCTTTGTAGGGTGCACTCAACTGTGAAGGTGCAGCAGGAAACGTTGCTTCATACCTGTTTCACTGCAAGCACAATCATGGCATTTCTTAGATTTCACTGGATTCGAGGGATTAGTTGATGTGATCTACCAACACTTCAGAATCTGGTGTGGAATGGGTGTGTGCATGCTTGCATGATTCTGTGATGGACAGATACAATAGTTTTCCTTTGCAGTGGAAGCAAAAATTAACCCTGTGCAGATGCTGGTGTTCGGTGGGATGAAGGAATTACTGTCATGCTGACTGGGTCCGCCTCTTGACACACCCAGTGTCCACACATTTAACGTCCACAGTTGTGTACACCAGTGCACATAGGGGGCTCTTATGTCTGGAACACACATGCAGATCCTTATGTAAATATGATATTCAGCACTTAGCTGTTGGATGCACTGACAGTGTCAGGTCAAATGTCGTATCCTTATACAATAGCTATGTTTATTTTGTCCAATGACATTAGAAGCTATAAATGGTTTTGTCAAGTTGATTATTATGGCTGCTAAGAGTTGTAAGAGAAGTAAATCCTTTCCTAACTTGGCAAAGTGGGACAAGGTTCTCCTGTTCTGTGCTGGAAAATAACTACAAGCAAAGCGGTGAGCCTAGGACACAGAAGTTCTTATAGTTAGTATTAGTTACGAGCCGTTCATCCATCAATTGCAATAACATGGAGAGCTGGAGGAAGGTATAACCTGGGCTGTATAGTGCCATTCCAGCTTCAGTGTAAGCATTTATCCCTGCTGAATTTGGTAAAAATCAGATACACTCTTTAGGCTGCTTGAGTTAGTGGGTTTTAAAGGCAAACAACTCTTAAATTTTCCAAGCAATCACTTCTTTGAGACTTCAGCATGTTCTCTCTGGCTTGCAAGAGTAGTTTAGGGAGGTTTGGGGAGAAAATGAGAAATGCAGGAAAAGGGTGTGTTGCTAAACCTGGACATTTTAACACTGGCCAAGGAATTGCCAGGCTCTTAACACATTACATCTTTAGGATTGTGCACTTATGAATACAAACCTGATAGGGAAATAGGTACAGTCCATTTTGGGGGATCATTGTTCATGTACAGTGATTGCTGCTAAGTGTCACTGCAATTCCATTCATAGGTTAGTTACCTTTAGTGGCAGCATTGGTCCTGCCGATGTGATATTGTGCCCCTATTTTCTAACTTCCCATGCTCTGCTTGCAACCGAAGTGAGGCCAAGAATGTGTTTCTTCCTTTCCATGGCCAGGGCCGTGGTGAAGTCAGAATGCTATCTGCACCTCCGACCTCAGTTTTCTGTCTATTTTCTTATTGTAACCGGGTTCTAGGCAACCGTATAAGCTGGGCTGTTACCTGCCAAACTAGGCATACCTTTTGTTAAGTGCTTTGTGCCAGAGTTGAGGTACAGCAGTAGGTGGTAGATGTGTATGCCCAGCAGTGTGCTGTTCATGCCACTTAACAGATACAGTAGCTGAACTGAGTGTGTTTCTGGTCTTGTCTTGGTTGTCTCCGGAGGCTTGTATATTACCTTGTAGGTGGTGATGTTTCCAAGTGGACTCTGGGTGTTGAGTCACTTCAACTCTGTCTTGTTTCAGGCTCTGCTTTGCAGAACATAGAACATCTCATAGTAAAGTTTGGCCTCTAAATGAGACTTTCCTCAATTGTACATGAACATAACCCATAATGGTACTATACATCAGGGTGCAAATACAGAAAGGACGCATGCAGTGTTTGCGTTTAAAGTTGAAACCTTTCATCTTTACAAGAGTGGCTTAGAATGTTGATGCTTTGTTTCCTGATTGTGTGCCAGGAAAGACACACCTGTTAAAAGGAGTGATGCTTACTCAGGTGGAAAGGTCTATTATACAGGAACAGTAAACTAGTCACCTGGCCAAGTTATTGCATTTCATTAACCAAAAGTAGTTTTTAAAGCTAAGTTTGCTTCTGGAATGCTTGGAACCTGGCCTACCTAGGCTTAAATCCTCTCTGTTAAGGTTTTTGTAAGAGTTGCCACCTGAAAGAACACCTCTGTGAACAAAAGGAAATGGTGTTAGAAGGGACCTGTTACTCCTTTACTCTTCTGCTGATGTCATTGTGTCCCTTGGTCGTCCTCAGAGCCATCTGAATTTTTTCTTATTATATCTGCTATATTTAGCAAGACGATACAAACACTTAGAGTTTACATGGCCACTAAATTATTGTGGCAAAAAGAAACTAGGAAATACAGGGAGGTCTGGGGAAAAGCACCTTAAAATTTTCCTATTCCAAGTGTCCAGTAAAGTAAAAGTGAAATGCAAGAAACATGCCAATGGGTCCTTGCACTTAAACAAATTTTTCTTTTTAAGAAAACACATTGGCTATGAAAAGATTTACTTCTGCAATAAAAAGTCAGGGTGTCCTTTCTGTTTTTTACCCAGCAAGTGATAAAGCTTTGCTTGGACTGTTACATATGGCAGACAAAATAAGAGTACGTGCCAGTGTGATTGCATTTAATAGCTAAGTCTCGAGTTCTTGTCCTCAGGTGATTTGTCCCATTACTCCAGTTGGTAGTATTTAGTTTCTTGCCCTTTGTATTTCTGCACAGAGATGGGTGAACCGCTACTAGCATAACATACAGTGAAAAACTGTTACTTTAGAAACAAAAAAAAAAATGAATTAATGGAATTCTGCTATTTATTGAACTTATTCTTGGCTATTGATATAATTGTATTGCAAGGCAATTTAAACATAAGATTTCTTTTTCCAGTTTATTATCCCATTTTTGTTTATATTGGCTCCGCCCATCCTTGTTTAAAATAAGGAGAATGTAAAGCTTTTCAGAATGGCATTTTAATATATTTAAAAGCTTAATATATAAGCATGTGTGCAGCAATAAAGAGTCTATTTCATTAGATCTGTTTTGACATGCCTCATTCATTACAGTAACACATGTTGTGAGAACCTCAGGTTTCTTGGAGCACATAGCTGTGCCAGTGAAGCTGAAGGAAAAGGATGAGGGAGAGCTTTATATGTTAATATTCTGGCTTTGGAGTGAGTGAAAAAAGCTGAATGTTGGTGGGTTTAATTCATGTACTTCTGACAATGATCATGCTTACACATAATCTGCATAATTTCACAGCCCCTTTGCCTTGTTGAAATGCCAATATTTTCTCATTCCTACAATATAACAGTCAGGGAACTAAGAGCAGTGCATCCTCTGCAGGGTGTTACTACAGTTATCTAATCCTGCATCTGTGCCCAAAACATCTGGTCAAGTACCATTACTGAGATGTAAACACGTACTTTTTTTTCTTTTCCCCTTAGCCCAGTCTTCCACTGCAATGTGGTCCTGAGAGATTCTCCAAGGAGGTATTCATCCATTGGACTAAAAAAGGGTTTGGAAGCCCTGTAGTGTTGGGCCTCTTCTCAGTGCCTGAGTGCACTCCTGAAGAAGGCCCTGCCACTGCTGCTTGGTTTCTACTTAGTAAGTAGGTGAAGGCACTTCCATTTCCGTGGCTGTCGCTCAAGGGATTTACAGCGACAGCATTACACTGAACATGAGTAATTAAATATACCAGAGATGCTTGCTTTAATAAACCACAGCAGTCACAAGACTCCCAACATGGCCATTTTTAAAAGGACTTCTCTAACTTCATGGGTTAGGTGACGACTAAGTGCAAAAATCAGTGGTCAGGGAAGATAAATAGTTTGAAGGAAGAAGGTTCAGTGCCTAATACGCTGGCCAGATCTATGTTTCTTGGATAAAGTGGCATGACTGGAGGACTGAAGCTTTTTAGAAAGAAAGTCAGAGGTAGAGTTCAGAATTCTGACCTCAAGAACAGCAGGAGAAGGGAGAGGGGGCAGAGTCCTAGCAACACTTTAAAGCACAATGTGAAGTATATCTTACTGGAGAAAAGATAAAAAATCCCAGGGAAACATTCCCTTATGCCGATAATAGGGAGTGATATCAGTGGTGTGTGCATTACAATATTGCATTACAAATTTCAGCTGAAAAATGGAATGTGTTTCCCCAGAAGCTAAGAAAGGTGCCCTAAGACAGCAAGGTATGTTTCTCCATTTGTATTATGAGGTTCATCTGGGCCCCAGTGAGAAGTTTGGATGCATTTTTAGATGGAGCAACAGGATCTACACTCCCATTAAGGTCAACCAGTTAATATTGTTACCTAAAATATCAGCTGGATTGGGGCCATAAAATTTTGTAGCTACTTGTGTTGGACACTGCTATCCAGATTTTAGCTGAGCAGAGCAAGGCTTCCACTAATCAGAACTTTATTCTGCATTCATTAAACAGACTCTGTGTCAACAGGGTTGTAGATGCATGCAAAGGAACATAGAAATGAACTTGCTGAGTCAAGATTTGAGGATTACCATGTCTAATTTCCAGTTGGCACTGAAAGCAACACGTTTGTTTGTTTGTTTGTTTGTTTGTTTAGTGTCTATACTCCCCATAGCTCAAGCTCTGGGCAGTTTACAACAAAGTATAATAACAATTAAACAATTAATTTAAACAATTAGTTTAAACAATTATTTAATAATTATTAAATAATTAAACATTAATAATTAAAATTAATTTAAAATTACATAAATAATGTTAAAAGACAGTTTAAAAAGATGCAGCCAAGTGTAAAAGAAAGACAGACACCTGGCTGGTTTACAGCCGTCGCTCAAGAAAAAGGAGGCAGGTGGCAGTAGATACGTGTTGTCACTCTCAGTGTTATTTCTTGTGTAACTTGCCAAATATGTGAGAAGAGTATTTTCAGATGCAAACATCGTTATATATTACATTTACATTGGGTACAAAGTCTGCTCCTAATCTAGAATCTCATATGCTGAGGAAGGATTTCTCCCCACTCCGCCAAGACAACAATCTGTATAGATCTTTTTGGTGCAGGAAAAGGAACCTAAGGTCTAAATAGAAGTGTAGCCTTTACGGAAATAAGGATAGGCCAGGTGCCTTCAGCTTCAGAAAATGCACATTTATAGGATCAACATAAGCCTGGATCACTCCAAAAGATTCATTTGATATATTTCACCTTTAACTCCACCTCTTAAAAAAAAATAGGGTGTTATTCTTTGCTTTTCATTTTCATTTATTTCCTTATCACCCAACTTCCAAGTGCTGTCTGAGCAGTTCGAAACAATCCTAAAACAAAGTCATAGTCTAAAAATAGTAACATACAATATGTTAAAACAATTGGAAACAGCTACAGAGTAGTTGCAATAAAATACTGGGACCTGACAAATACAGATATTAAAATCCAAGCATATGACATCAAATGCCTGAGACTCAGAGGATATTTTTAACCTGGTGTCAAAAGATGGCAGGTTTAGCACCAGATAGACCTTTGTGGGGAAAACATACCATAATTGGTGGGTTACCCCTGAGAAGGCTTGCTCCTCTATTGGAATTCTAAGCCATTGGAGGAGGCCTTCAGAGGATGATTGTAATGCACAGGTATGTTCAAACTGGGAAAGGCTCTCCACCAGGTCATGGAAAGTGTTATCGTTCACACACCATTGGAAGCACAGCCAATGCAAGTGGGCCAGGGCCTGTGTTACACATTCTGACTGCCTGATCCCTTTTCTCAATCTGGCTTCTATTTGGTACAAGCTGAAGCTATCAGTCTTCAAATGTAGACCACATTGCAGGGATCTAATGTGATTACTGAAGCCAGGCTATCTTTATTTAGAAAGGAGCATAGCTGGGCCACCAACCAAAGCTGGTAGGAAGTACTCCTTGCAGTTGAAGCTACCTGAGCCTCACATAACAAATGATTATCGAGATTATACCATTGCGACTATATCTCACCTTTTTCCTCTTTGTGAGGAACCCAAAGTGACCTACATAGCCATCTTCTACTCCATTTTTACCTCACAACTACCTTGTGAGGGAGCTTAGACAGAGTGAATGACTGGGTCAAAGTCACCCAGTGAACTTCATGGCTAAGTGCGGACTAGGACCCAAATTCTCCAGACCACAGTCCAGCACTCCAACCATACTGGGTCTCCAGGAGAACTCTACCAAAAACCTGTCCTTTCCTGTCCCAAATAGGTTGAACACAGCCCATTCGTTCAAAAGAAGCTTATCTGGATTGAGCTTCAGCTTGTTAGCCCTCATCCAATTATTGATTTAGTGCAATTATTGATTTAGGTTATCTAAAGGAACGCTTGCGTCCATATATGCCCTCCTGCCCCTTGAGATCGGCAGCAGAGGCCCTTCTCCAGGAACCCTCTGTGAAAGATATTAGGAGGGTCGGAGGAGGGCCTTCTCTGCAGTGGCGCCCCACCTATGGAATGCGCTCCCCAGAGAGGTCTGCCTGGCGCCTTCGTTACTTGTTTTTCGGCGCCAGGCTAAGACCTTTTTATTTAAAAGTTATTTTAATTGTTAACTTATGAATTGTATTTATGGGATTTTTAGGTATATGCCGAGATGCTTCCGGTTTTTTAACTCTAATTGTATAAATTTTTTGTTTATTATTGTTGTAAGCCGCCCCGAGGCTTTTTGTGAATGGAGCGGCATAAAAATGGTGTAAATAAATAAATAAAATTCACGGCCTGTCCTGATGAAGACGAAACAAAGAAGTAGAGCTACATGTCATCAGCACACTGACAGCAACACAAACCCCCATGATGCCTCAACACGTTCATATAGTTATTAAATAGAACTGACCTTGCAAAATGCCATGGTGGGGAATTCATGGGGCTAAGCAATATCCGCAAAAGTATGCCTTTTGGAACTGACCATGAAAATAGACAGAAAACCACTGCAATGTATTATAACCTGCTATTCCCAGCTCAGACAATCACCCCACCAGGGTCTTGCGGCTGATGGTAGCAAAGCCACCCGAAGATCAACCGGAATCAATAGGTTTGCACTGCCACAGTTGATCTCCTGACATAGCTATGAGGCAAAGGCTGTTTCTATGCCATACCCCTGCCTGAATTGATCCAGCTAATTGGTCTCATGCAAGAGGTTTTGGAGCTTGTTGGCCATCACCCACCAAAGGAACATTTGCTATGTGCCTTAAAGTTCTTAGAATCTGAATTCAGGGAAGATTTCTTCAGAAGTAGTCTCACCACTACCTCCTTCAGGTACTAAATATGTTATTCTTTGGATTTTCAATGTTCTTGAAAACTTTTAAGTGGAAATCTTTTTAAAAAAATACAAAGCAGGGAAAGAGGGCCTTTCTTCTCTTCCCTCACATGTTCACACCATTTCTTACATTTGTGTAGAGCAAAGGATTGTACTAGTAGCTGTCCAGCTCCCCAGATAGATCTAGGGTGCAATCTTGTGGTCTCCCAACAGCACCCAGGTGGCCATGGGACTCTTGGGAGTCCCAGCACCAAGGCCCCGTAACCTCAGTGCTAGGACTCAGGTGACCAGGTCCCTACCCTGTCCCCGTCTCAGTCTGCACAGAAAGAACCACTCTGGCTAAGCGAGGCAGATGTGCCTCAGAGAGGGGGGAAAGGGTATGCTTTTGAGTGGGAAGGGATAGAGGTTGGGGTTGCCTTGGAAGCTGATTCTTATCAGTGCTTTCCCATCCTTGTCAGCCTCCTGCCTGCATAGTTATACATCAAATTAGCATGTTGAATCACATTTGCTAAGCTGGAAAGGTGCAGGCCTGCAGCTGGATAAGTGACCACATGTGGAAGCGCAGCAGGGGGTTGGACTTAAGGGCTTATAGGCCCCTCACAAGGGTACTGCTATTCTAGTCCTACCCTTCCTCTCTTCAGCGCTTAATCAATAGGGCGGAAAATGCATGGGGGAATGTGCAGTCACAAGGGAGATTACCTCCAGTGCACCTCACGCTGGCCATTGGATGCACATAAGCCTGAGTTGAGAAGCTGTAAAAACTGGAATTCTCACAAAATTGACCAGCAGCAGATGTCA